TGTCTCTGGTGAATCCTCTCACCCCCCACACTTCTGGCTTACAACCCAGCTCTTGTATGCATACAAAAATAAGTCTTTTTAAAAAATAATTAGGAGCGGGAAACCATTACGAAGCTTATCTCTGATTAGTCCTGTGCAACGTCAGACAAGATTTTCCAAAAAAGAGCCCAAGCATTACCTCCAGTCCACGTGCTCCTTCAGAACACAGCCATGTCTTCACAAGGCAGTGGAGAGCTAAAGCGGGGAGGCTGTAGCTGCCTGGACACAGAGACTGTGGTAGAACTACACTAGAAATCCAGGGGCTAAGTCACAAGAGAAAATACAACTTTTGCCTGGCTCTCTTGCTTCTGAAATGCTTTAAAGCCAGTCACTCTGCCCTGAGGAGACCCAAAGGAACCTAAACAGAGAGACAACTCAGAGAGAACTTTGTAGAGGGAAGCTGAAGCCACCCATCAGCCCGTGCCACAGCTGAGCCCCCAGTGTTCTATAACCATCCCAGGCTGGGTAGATTCACCGTTGGTTTGGGCAGTTTAAAAGAGAAACTTGGAACACTTGGCACCATCCCCATAGGTTTCCTAATATTAGCAGGGGAAACCAGCCAGCAGGGAGACAGCAATCTGGACCCTGTGAATCTCTACATGCTTTCTCTTCTCAGAGCCATTTTCCGATGCACCCTCCTACACACCACTTCTGCCGCACCCCATTCTCTGATACTGCCCTTATGGGTGGAGACTGCTCAGGTGCGCCCACTTACACACGCCCACCCCCTACTCCAGGTGTCCACCAACAGGCACTTGGGCCCCAGGCCCACACTCCCAAGCGCCTCCTGTATTCAAGGCCACAGGTGATAGCCACAGAAGCCAATGGTATGAAAGCCTGAGCACTTCCACTTACCAGCCTTCCCTACCTGTCCATGTTCCTGACCAAATCCACAAGCCACATAAATGGTTGGTTTCTGCCATGAAGTTTTAAGATAGTCAAAATGACTAAAATAGCAATTAAGGAGTAGCAACAAATAATGATGAGTCTATTTCAAGAAAATTCCAGAACAGTAGTCTATTAGTGAGCTCTCTGAGGAACTGGGCTCTGCCGGCAGACACACACACAGCTGCCCTGTGAAATGATTGACCGTTCACCCAGGGTCTGGCTAAGTTCCTTTCATTTTCCTAGCATAGTCAACTCTACTTTTGGTATTAAAGCCTCTGCATGGCCTTAGCTTAGCTGTTAGCAAAAAGACAGAGGTTTATTTCTCTAAATATGATCCAGCTAACATGGAAACCTGATCAAACTGGACCAGTGTGGAATTCAGAGAATATCAATTTGACCTTTATATAAGAACTTTTACTAAATCATATAAGGTCTGGTGTTTTGGACCTAACATGCAAAGAAGATACTTGAAAGCAACATGAAAATGCTATTATTACATTTATCATGGGAAGGTTGATACAGACAAGTCGCATAGCATATCACACCCTTTTAATTGAGCACTCCCTATAAAATATTTTCCTTGGAAAATTGTCCCAGAAAAAAACATGTGCTCTCCTGAACAACTGGGAGGTTGTTTTACGACTGGGAGGTTTTATTTTACTACTCTACACTATTTCCCTTTGCTTGCTATACTTGTTTTGTTCTTGTTTTTAGTTGTTCTGTTTACATGAACATTCTCCACAGATCTCTTTGGTACAAGGTGAGGCATATACTAGTAGACTTGCAAACCACTCCTTATATTTCGGTACATGCATGCACATGTGGAACAAGAATATTTAAATTCCTCCTATGACTTAATGGAGAATAAATAAAACCCCTCAATTTTAACCAATCTTATAGATGACTTAACAAAATGGGTAGTTACACTCACTTATTAGTCATGTTATAAAACTTGACTAGCTGGAATAAACATGTCACAAGAAAGATACTGTTTCTCTTCCTCATTTATATTTGACATCCATCAATCATCCCTTGTTCCCAAAATAACTCAGAAATAACTCAAAATAACTCAGAAAATCTCAAGAGACACAAGCTGGAAACAACATCTGGACTAATCTGGGAGTCTAGTCACTAGCTTGCCAATACTCAGTGAGGTACTATAGGATAGTTCTCACAGACTGAGTTGCAGAGAATTTAATCACAATTTAAATTAAAATTTTGAATTTAAAACAAAGAAGGCCATTGGCTGAATAGAGATTCTGATCTCCAAACCTCCACTCCACTGGTTCCAAATGTGCCTGAGGCCAGCCTCAGCCGAAGGTGGGGTCCCTGGGCCTCTTCCCCCTCTCAGGGTGAGTCACTATTCCTTTTTTCTCTTCCTGCTAAACCTGACCTCACCAACAAACAAGCAGCTTCACCATGCAGTCCGCTCTCACCCTTCTGGGAGTGTCAGTGAGTCAGGAGTGAGGAACATCATGAGCCAGAGTTCTGGGAACACCACCTCTGCCGTCCTCTGTCAGTCAACACACACAGCAGCTCTGTCAGAACAGGTTAAGTCACCGCGCAGGCGCAGTGAAGTCTCCGCGCAACCCAAGCAACTCAAGCAGGCAGGAACCCTGACAGGTGGGCTTCTGGGGAGCGGCTTCTTCAGGGACCCAGCCACACACACACACACACACACACACACATCAGCTTTAGGCTGCCTTAGATGTGCAAAGCCAGACTTCCACAGTTGGGTTTTGTCATCCAGACAGACCTCATTACTTGCTGTGTGGCTCAAGAGCTCCTGATTTTGAATTCTTAATTCAAACTTAGAATAAAATCCAAGTTAGGATGTCCAAGTTTTAGCAAACATGTGGACAACACTTGTACTATCTTTTTTTTTTTTTTTCCTCCTTTTTGCTTACAAAATAGGCGTTTGGACACCGGCTTCCCAGACGTACCTACTCTGAATTACAAGTCTCTGAACCTGAAAGGCATACATATATGAGCTGCGCGGACTTCTCTTGACCTTATATTAATTTTTTTCATCCAACATAGGGATACTAAAACAGATTTATTACTGATTTCAAGGCATTAATAGATTACAGCCATTCACAGTCAAAAAGAAAACAGCACAGACTGAACCCCACGTGGTAGAAAGTGCCTGCCCCTCAGGTTTTCATCACCACAGTGAGGCGCTTCTGTGTGCAGTAGCAGGGCAGGGCCCAGGCTCTGCAGATCAAAAACCCCAGGTCAGAGTAGCATTCACAGCTTGCTTTGGCCACCAGACAGAGTCCCCTCACCCCTGGAGAGTCTCTTCAGTGCTTCCCTCACAGTGTTGCTCCCCAGCACTCTGTGAAAGGAGATATGACCCTTTCATCTCGCTCCCTCCTGTCCTCCTTCCTTGCACTTCATAGTTGAGAAAAAAAAAACTAAATGCCCTTCTAAGATGTCTCAGGGAGTAAGTGGACAACTCCAATTCCATTCAGGTTTTTCTCTCCAAATCAAGAGCTAGAGATATAAATCTTTTCAGGCACCAAATACAGGGCCTAGGCAGAGGTTCAACCCCAGCCTGCTCACGCTTCTTCATAACAGAAATCCTGTTCAGAAACCCACCATCTTGAACACATGGATGGAGAGCACTTTGTTTCTGGAAAAAGTGTCTTCTTTTGCAAGCACTCCTGGTTAGGAGAAACTTTCTAAAATGGTTGCACCAGGACCCAGAAGGTGCTCTGGTCCTGTTGCTTAGTAACTCTTGGTCACTTTGAGCCCGCAAGCCTCAGCATACTGGGCCATGCTATTGGCCATGGACAAGTCATTTCTCTAGGTATAAAAGTTCGAAGTAGCTTACTTCCTCTAATTCTCCAGCATCATGAGAGATAAGCAAGCACAATATGCCATGTAAGATTACAGTGGTGGTATGATGGATGGGGATACCAGTAAAGAGGCATTTCTCTCAGGGGTTACCCACACTGACCTTCTGTGGCTCGAGTAGAACGGAAGGCACTTCGATACCAAAGTACAATGTCAATCTTAAAAATGTTGTGGATACACACAACAGTGGCCATCACACCTGTCAAGATGAGAAGTCCACCTAGCAAATAAGCTCGAAAATCTGGATCTACAAACAACAAAAACAAAAAAAATAAGCGAATACATACAAACAAGAGTCAAGCATATACTTCTCACAGACAGATCACATACAAAATGGAAATGTATTTGATGTCAATAAAGAAGCCCCTTAAATATGTCTTTAGAGTTAAATAAAAGGAACAAGTACAATAACTGATGCAGATCATACATTGTAGGAAACAAATGGATGCTGGGGAACATGGGGAGGAAAATTCTGAAAACCTAAGCTGCTGACAGTGAGTGCATGCAGGTTGGGGGGTCGGGGGGAACGGAGAGGGCAACTCTAGGCTCTTCGATCTGGAGCCTGAGTAGGTTAAGTTCTCCAGGAGCTTCTGTAGTGCATTATGGTTGTAGAACTGTTACAACTGCTTATTTCTAACACTTAGTCAAAAGTGAGCAGCAAAACACTCATCAGAAATAGCAAGCTATCAGCTGTATCCCCTGGACAGTTTCTCCACTGGCTCCCCAAGACGCACAAAGCCAAATGCCCGCCTCACCCTCCCAGTACCACCAGAATCCAGACCTCTGTCTGCCAGACTATGTCAGAAAGACTTTTATACCCTGTTCTGCCTGGTGAGCAGAACACACAGCTCATTGCAACAAAACTGGGGTAGGAGAAAACCAAGCAGCAGAACCAGTTCTTCTGGAAATCCAAGTCCCTGAAAAAGCAAGTTCCTACAGATCACAGAAGAGGAACAGCACAGCTTTGCCCTCACCACAACACAGACATCTGCCACCAAAGAAGGAGGCTCCAGGAAGGGGAGAATTAGAAAAGGGAAGACAAAGAGAGGAAGAGAAATCCTCCTCATTCTTAGAGGCCACCACACACACCACTTCCTGATTTTCCAGACCCTAACAGAAGGTGGGGAGCGGCATCTCTTGTAGGTAGACTCAGGTGATGGTCAGAGATTCCTAAGTGGGTCATTCATGGCATTCAGGGGTGCCTATACCCTCTTTTCTTTGAATGAGCTAAAAGACAATGAAATTAGAAATAGGGAGATCGGCCCTCCCTGATGGTGTAACAGGATAGGATGCAGCACAGCAAGCTAGCTGCAGCCACCTCACTGTGAGTTCGATTCCTGGCCTGGCCCCAGAGGAGACCCACATGGCATAGCAGACCTCACCTGACCTGCCTGCTGCTCCCCTCAGCAGTGTCCTCCGTTGATCTGCCTGTTCTGCTACCCACTCTGGCTCTGGTGAATCCTCTCACAGTCCCTACACCTACCCCAGTTCTGTATGCATAAATAAATAAATCCTTTGGAAAAAAAAAAGAAATAGAGAGTTCATGGATAAGCTCAAAGGTGTTTAGGTTGTGAACTGATTTAAGTGGTGTCCTGGTGAAGGGACTGATAAAGATGGGATGTACCATTATGGTCCCCATGGCTCCCAGCAGCCTTCAACTGAGATGGTAGCTGAGAACAGTGATTAAAAGAAACTCACAGAAAGGTACACACAATCTATAAAAGTTTCTAAGAGCCTTGCTACAGAAAACTAAGGAAGATTCAAATGTGAGGTGCCTTCCACAAAAATAAAAAAGTCAAATGGGGAAGCTATAAGTTTACATCTGGCCCCAAGTAAACCTACAATACTCCTAGATTTAAAAGAGTAATGTTCCTATGCATTTAGGAGAAATGAAGGAAAATGGAAAAATGTGTTGCGTGTGAGAGGTGAAATGAGAGTTGGCAAGAACACAGATGAATTTAGCAAGCACAGGTTTACAAGTGACCTGAAACAAAGGAGGTGAATCACCCCTTACCCCTCCTGAGGATTGGAGGGTGTCACTGAAAACAGCACCAAGGCCTCCAAGCCTAGACTTTGCTTCGGGATCCTTTTGAACACAGTGCTTCCAAGTAGGCTGTGAGTAGGAGTCAGTATCAACTGGGAAAACTCTATTGCTCATCTTTGGTCTAAGTTAACAGACAAAGAATTCAAACATCTAAATTGAGACAGATTTCCATTATAACCATGACAGACCTCTGGCACCTTCCAAGGCTTCCAGTCAGCTCCCCTTTTTTCTTGGGTAGAACTTGAGGTATTCTCTCTAGCAATTTTATGAATAAAATCTCACAAAATAATGCTTTTACATAAGTAGCAAGGCCCACACACAGCAATTTCCATAGTGGCATTATCTGCTAATAGGAGCAAATTGTGAACAATGAGAACACAAATATAGAAAAATTGAGAAAGTATGATTTAATTATAATCGAATAGGATTCAGCCATGAAATACAGCTCATGTTCCATCACTGGTGTATCAATAAACCAAAGGAAAGAAGCAAGACATAAAATAAAACAAACTGTAGTTCTCCTTATATAATATAGTAGACAGCTGGAATTGCCGTTCTCCTTATATAATATAGTACACAGCTGGAATTGCACAAGGGGGGAGAACGGCATTGGAGATGTCAACTGCATTGCAATTGCACAGGAATGACAGTTGGTATCAAAGAAGGAAGCAGGAGAATTTGGAAAGACCAGCAGCAACAACATACCACAAGAATTACCCACATGTACCATGTACCCACATGTACAAGAATGACCAGGAGGAAAGTGACTTTCTGTGACAAAGAAAAGCCAGTGAGGAGAGGAGAAATGGATAGTGGTAACTGATTAGCCCAGATTCCATCCACCTGATGTAACCCAAGACGGCACCCCACGGGATCTAAGGTGAGGAGAGGGGGAGCTGTGTGCTCACTCTCCATGAAGGCATTTGGGGGCAAACTGGACTTTGGCCTCCATGTCATGGATGGAAGGAGGGCCATGAGCATACCCAGGACCATAGTCTGATGCAGACACACCTCCACTCACCACTACTCAAAGGGAGTTGATGTCACTCCCCAGCTCGGGAACTTGACATTCACTAGCTCCACACACCAGTGACTGAACTAATGTTTTATGTTAAGTACTAGAAAAATATTTCTTGTAGGACTTTAGGGACACGCAGTTAAACATGGCTTTAATTGATCCTTAAGTTCCACTAGCAAATTCAAGCCTTTTTTGAATAGAATCAAGATAAAATGCTGCTTAATAAACCACATTTTCACAAGTACTTCATACACTCCCCCTAACATGTTATGAATTAAAAGTCCCTAACACCTATTCTCAAACAAATGATTTTATCCTTCACTACCTATTTTCTGGCTCTATTTCCACCAATAGATACTCAATGCACTGTTAGTGTAATTTGCAATTTGCAAATTGTGTATACACATGGGATTGAAGTCTTCCTGATCAAATATCAGAATCCAGCCTCTCTTAATAACTTTGCAAAATTACATGACAAAAGTATACATAAGCATTTTATTTTCACATCAAATTAGTTATAATAAAGAACCTGGGAGCTGAAAATCATAAGCAAATGACTTAAAAAGTTGAGTGACTGGGTTTGATAAAGGAAAGTCCTATTTTCTAGAATGTTCGTCCATAAAATCTTAAAATATATTAATAAAACACTTTCAAAATACATAAATGAAATCATAGTCTCACTCTAAGAACATCATCAGCTACTGTGTCTGCTTTTCCTTGGACTTTCTCTAATGTTGCCTCTCTGAGCGTTTCTTGTCCTGGCGCCCCTGACACATTACCTGGGAGTTTTAATATAAAGTAAGCTGCAGATACTCCAGCATGGCATGTAAAAGGGAGGCCATAATCTTCCATTTTCACTTCCAGAAAGGTTATATTCATCGTATAAAAATTATGATCCTTAAAATAAGTACAGTTTCTATAAAAGAAAAGAATCAATCATTACTACATGAGTCATATTTACCCAATATATTTTATAATCTTTATTCCTAAGGATAAAACTACTTCCTGGGAACATCATTTTATCCTCAGAATACTTCACTGAGTAGCTTGCAGGGGTGTATAGGTGGAGCATTCTAAATTTGCACTTTCTTCTGGACAGTCAGAGAAGTGTGGTTCTGCTCAACACAGACATTATCCTCAACCCTAAAGAGTGTTCTCTGACTTACTCCCCACTTATCTATCTACCTTGTAAATCCCAACTAAAGGTCTTCTGCCCACTGGTTTCTCTAAGCCTATTTCACACTTCCTTGATACCACCATAAACCAAGATGGCAGCACTCAACTAGCTAAATAATGGACTGTTTCTCCCGTAAGTCTCTGTGTTGTTATTTAAGCTTTGAAGATTGATGGTTCATGATTTAACTAAACAGGAAAGAGACTGGTTTTCAGCATTAGCTGAGTGACACTGATCTTGTTGCTTTAGGCATGCTTTAACTTGGTCTCATCTCTTTAACTAGGTTGGAAGCAGGAGCAAATCACACTTGCTTAAACCAGTCACAGGGCCACACACAGTGTCACCATTGAAAGACAACCGGAAGGTGTCAGGAGACAGTAAAAACTGACTGACAAATACAGTACGAACAGCAGAACTAACTCAGCTGAAGGGATTCTTGCTAGTTTTCAGAGAAGCAAAAAAAAAACAAACAAAAAAAAAAAAAAAAAAAAAAAACCCAAACACCTACTCGAAGCCTTCTCTGATTCGTTTGGATTCACTATAGTAAACATCCACCAAAGTGTTGTTGACTCTCCAGCACCTCAGATTTGTATTCCCCTTCGTGTCTGTTATGTTGCAGTCGATAATTAGGGTGGAGCCTATAGAAGTCAAATCCATAAAGTAAAATTAATGCTTTTTTAAATGACCTGGTGACAACTGCCCTTCCTTATAAGCCTTGAACAGCTTTCGATTACCAGAAATACTTCCCCAAGGTCAATGTGAATCTACTTAATTCTCTCCCTGGAAGATCTTAACTGACAAGTGACCTTCCAGGATGTCCATTGTACAAAGATCGGCATCTATGGCCAATATCAACAGTTTCTGATCGATGACCACAATATCAGAGGTACATATCCCTCTTTATTCTTAGGAATATTCTCAAAGAATCTTACTGTTTACAAGTATTTCACACACATTTTTCTTTCTGTCTTCAAAATAATCCAAAGTAGAAGAAAAAAGAGGTGATATTACTCCCATTTTATAGATAAGAGAATTGAAACTCAGACAGATTGAGTGATTTGCCCAGGTCATAAGTCAAGAAGAAATGAGCTTTGAGATCTGGTGATCAAATTCAAAATCCAGTCATATTTCTACATCAGCAGTTGTCACTCAGCTCATTCCCCATTTCCCTTACATTGTCTCCACACACAAATTTATTTAACACATTTATATTTTTTGTTATATTTTGCTTCATTTTTCCCAAGAAAATAATAAATTCCATCTATTTATTACATGTAAAAAAATACTGTCCTTCTAAATAGTACTTCAAGTTTCTTTATTCTAGATGGTTGTTAAAATTTGGGGGAGAGGTGGTGGCACAGGGGTGATTTGGTGATGGGAAACCCGTGGGGATTACAATTGAGATGAAAAAAAAAATGTGCAAAATGATGTAAAAATAAACTTTTTAATAAAAAAAAATTGGGGGGAGAACTACAACATAGGTATAGTCAAAAATATAGACTATGAATGAATTATTTTAATTACACATGGTGCTATAACAGAATACTGTTGAACTATTTAAAGTAACCGCCCATGCCTCATTTCCTGCATCAAGAAAATAACATAGTGCCAGGATCCCAGAAGTCTGATATGTGCCACTTCCCTGTCCACTTTATATTTTATCACTTATGTATTCGTATTTGAACTCTGGCTTCTATTACTCAACATTTTATTTGTGAGCTCTTTGCACTGTTACGTGTGTCTACACTGCGTTCAGACAATGGATTGTACAGCTACTTATTTCTTCCGCTGCTGCTGTAAGCATATCTGCATTGTTCTCAATATTCGCCTGGTATGCCAGAGGCTGCTGTGCGCACTTTTCATGTTAACCTACTAGCGAAATCGGTAGATCACAGGTTACAAATATCTTCAACTTTCATTGATGCCAAACTGTCTTCTAAAGCAGCTGTTCCAACTCCCACCTCCACCCGCAGCGTCCTTAGTCTACTCAGCAATACGTGGTATTGTCAGTCTGCTTTAGTCTGGCCATCTTGAGGTTGGTGCCGTATTACATTGGGAATTAAATTGATATCTCGCTAGACAGCACCTGGTCAAGAACCTTTGAAGTTTTTACTGGTCATGTGGATGTTCTCCGCTGTTATCTGTCTGCCTGAATTGTTTGTCTATCTTCCCAATAGGTTTTTTTTTCCCCCCCCTCATTGCTTTAGAGGAATTCTTCACAGATTCTGGGACTGACACCTTTGTTCTCTTGTTCCAAGTATCCCTTTCTCTGCTCTGGGTTGTCTTTTTGTTCTTTTAATATCTTGTAATTATCACAAATTTTTATTTTTAATGCAGTTCAGTTTATCAGTTTTTTTTCCTTCAGTTTTTTGCTTAGATTTTTTTTCTCCTGTGTGAAGTGCTTATTTTCCTGACCTGATAAATGAATTAAGGACTATTCTATCTTTTTCTACTCTCTCAAATAATTTGTTTAAAATTGCTGTTATTTCTCTATTTAATATTTTGTAGAATTCACCAGTAAAGCCAGCTGGACCCAGAATTGTGCCTTCTCTCTCAATAAGTCATACAAGGTTTACAATTTCATTCCACTTTTTAAAAATCATTCCTTAGACATGTTTTGTCAAGTTTCAGAGCAGTCAGTGAAATGCAATTGGCCTTAAAATACACATGTGTATTAATTTTGGAGAAATCACCTATTTTTTATGCTAATTATTGTTTGTCCCTAATTTTTTTTCTATTTCTATTATAAGTATAAATGTAACTTCCCCCAATTACATAGTATACATGCTTTGAAAACTTTACTTTGTATTGGAATAACCTTATTAAACAACTACTAATGATTACTATTTAAAATAATTTACTTAGAATTTCTAAGCAAGTATCGATAGATCTTGGAAAATAATTATAAGCTCTTCGAAGGTCTACATCTCTTATCTTTTAAATTGTCTATATACACTGTCAAAATTTTCAAAGACAGGATGGAGGGACAGTTTAATTAAGAGTTAATTACAGGTATACTTATCTTTTCTGTGTGTTTTTTGAAATCCACTATTCACATGAGTGATCTGTAGACAAATATCTTTTAATATGTTATCATTATTTCCTTGAAAGTTTTGTTAACTATATTTTTCACACAATAGGTAGTATTTTTTAACCTGTTTATAATTACAAGCTGAAAATCTATCATATGCTGACCTCTGATAAATTACGATACATAAAGTTTAATAACAGAAGATTTGTGTTGTGCATATGCTACTGAATATATTAGTCTACAAACCATATTAGGTTGGACAGATTCTAAAAAATCTTCCAAACAGTCGAATACAATCACACCAGCTCAACTACATGTCTATGGAATTCTGTGCTATCCTTGTAGATCAGTGTCACGTGTAACCTATAAATAACCTAATTAAGCTTTGAAAGGTTTCCCTTTCAAAGTTACAGTTTACTTGGAAGTCATTTAACTTAACTCCCTCACCCTTTATGGGCAAGAAAATTAGTTCAGACAAGTTCAAACCGAAGTGTATTAAGCAGTTACAACCAAGACCCCGCCAGCATCTCCTAATGCTTCTTAACCCAGGTCTACCTACTGCAATGCCGCTGAGGCTACATTTCTTCTCTCTTCTCTGAAAAATCACATTTTTGTCTAGAACATGTTGTAAATGATCATTTGGGTGATCATTTCTAAAGCCCTTAAAACTTAACAGTCATTTTTTGCTTGTTTATTTAATAATGGGTAAATCTGGATAAGATGCTTGTGGTAATATGAATACCTCCTTCTCCAATACTTAAAGCAAAGAGAACAAAACCTGGTTGAGTAAAACAAAAGGTGAAAGGGCCCATTCAAGGTCATTAAGACCCAGAGAAAACTGGCAGGTATTTGGTGCAAGTGTATTGAAGGCATTCAAGCTAGGCAGAAATTTGTTTTAATAAATATGCACATTATTCTAAAGACTCTTGCTGTAAAATGACAACTGCTAAAGGTAATACAGACACATGCATCCTACACAGAGTCCCCTGTACAGAAGGCACAGAGACACCAACACAGAACTGTAGGGGAGGACCTCACAGGATGTCAGGGGGGCCCAGGACACCGTAAAGTCAAGCTGAGAGATACTGCAGGGTTTAGTCAATCTAGATGGTTTAGGCTGGAAAGACAACTTTTCCTAAGAGTTGGGTTAATTTTTTGTCTTCAAATCTCTACTGCATCTTGTCTACAAGGCCCCAATTAATACTTAAAGGAAATTCTACAACTTTTTATCTTGACAGTTGCCTTTCTCCCTCTTTTGGGAAGTTAACAGTATTTTGCTTCTGAGCTGGGATTCTCCTTGTCCCCCTCCTTGTCCAACCAGTCCAGGTGCACCTGCAGGAACACCTGTGGTAGACTTGCTGAACCACCTGAGGAGGCCTCACACCCCATGCCCAGCACTTAGTGAAAGTTGGTGGAGCAGTTCCCCAGCGGTTGGCCCCAAGGAAGGCCCAGGTGTTTAGTGGGCATGGCCACACTGGCAGAGCCCAGTACGGCTTCCTTCCCCAGGGTAAAAGCCCAGGATGCCTGCTTCCTTCCAAGTTTACTAAAAAGAACTCTCCTTGAAACATAGGAATCCAGAGCCTGTAAAAAGATCATATTTCCGGCCCTCCCTGGTGGCGCAGCGGGTTAAAGCACAGCACTGAGAATCTAAAGCCTCTTCCGCATGAGTTCTATCCCCGCCTGCCCCGGAGGTGACCCATGACGGGGCAGACATCTCCTGACCCGCCCGCTGCTCCCCTCAGCAGTGTACTTCGTCGATCTGCCTGTTCTGCTCCCCACTCTGTCTCTGGTGAAGCCTCTCACCGCCCCTGAGCCTCTGGCCTGTACCCCAGTTCTGTATGCACAAATAAGTAAATCTTTAAAAAAAAAAAAAAAAGATCATATTTCCTTTCATTTCTGTCTTTTATATTTGGGAGACTAGATTTGCTGGAAGTTTTTCTATCTTCTTTTTTTAAAATGTATCCTCCACCTCCCCACCCAGCCCTTTTAACTTATAATCCTGTGACTTAACAACTCTAGTTGGTTTTTATTTTTTGTGTAATGAATTCATTCTTTTTATATTTTAATTATTTCTACACTTATTAGTAATAATGATATATAAACTTACAAGCTGTTGAGATTGAATTCTGATCTGCTATATTTTAAACATTCTATTACTAAGCTTTTGGACCGATTGCTATCAAGAAAGCAAATAACTAGAAGATGAAATTTTTTGTTTCTTAATCTTTAACAGTGGGTTTGGGGGTAGTTTCATAATTGTTTTTGAGCTATAAATATCTGGACTCACTACATTGTGCTGGAACTACACTATCTGTATAATTTCCTCCTCAGGAGCCCTGAGTGATTTATGGATGTTTATGAAAGTTATCTGTTGAACATATTGTTCTTATTATATTACTAGAAGCTTTTAGATCTTTATTTGACTAACAAACTTGTAAAAGCCAAAGTACATTAAAATCTCCCACTATAACTGAAACAACTGAATTGTCTCATGCAATGTCCTATATTTATGAGTTTTAGCTTTATATAGTTTGAAACATTGTTAGTTGACATGTAAAAATTTTTATTTGGGGATGTGTTGCTATTTTTTATTAGGATAAAATGATCCAATTTGTCATTTAATTCCTTTGCATTTAGATTAATATTGCCAGTCTAATTTCTCTGAATTAATTTTACAAACTACACATTGCGTATGCATTTATTTTTAATTAATGTCATGAATTTTTAGATAAGTCTTTTGAGAAGAGCATATAATTGAATTTAATATTTGACTCAACCTGAGCATTTGTCTTTTAATTTACTTTTTTCTTCAGAAAATAATCAGCAGTGTTTTATTTTACTAGTGATGCTCTTTAAATTTAGGAAAATTATTTGCTCCCTTTTCATTTACTTAGATCCAAGTTAAAGAAATGTTTATTGATCGCTTCCTATTAAATTAGGTATATATCATAACTTCTCCTGCTCCTTGCATACACTTTCCTGGATGAGATAATTTAATCAATGATGGACATAATTTAGTAGTATTTTATGTACCAACTCTTCCAGGATGTTTATGTCATTTTCATTGTCTTTGTAATAACAGAGCCACAGCAATCATTTAGATCCCCATGCTCGCTGAGAGGCCTTTGCAACCACAGGTTCCCCAGCTTCAACTCGATTTTTATTTTGATCCCTATCCTAATGAGCCAGATGTTCTCAAACCTGGAAATTGGATATATATGAGATTTGTCTTCATCCTGGAAATTCAAAAAATTCACATAGGTATGTGGATCTAACAATTTTTGCCCTTATTGATTTAATGAATTCAATAATTTACTTACCAGGTTTTACTTCAATTGAGTTGTTTTTTGGGTAAATGATTTTAGGGATTCTTCCTCCAAATACAGCTTTTTCTGCTAAGAAATCATACCCTCATGAAATGAAATTAAACTCACTTATGAAACATTCCCAACATATAAATCTATATAAATGCAATAACAGTGTAAAGAAAACATGGCACAGAGTAGAATTTTGATAAACATTGATCAAGAAAAAACAAAACTCGTGATAAAATTTAAATCGTAAATTCATATTTTCAAACAGAAATGATTAAATTGCGAAGGAAAAGGTCAAAAAGCATCTCTCCATCTGTAATGCATTCATGTTACCCATGTGAACCTTATGTCTCACCTGTATTTCTGCACCTCTGTTTTGCACTCTCAGCTCTGTAGATCATTGTGTGTACAGCAGCCATAGTGAGCTTTAAGAAGGTAAGTCACACCATACTACTTTCCTGCTCCCAAACCCTCTGAATATTTGCCATTGTTCTTGGAATAAAATCCATATTCCCCACTCTGGATTGCATGTCTCTGCCTAATCTTGGCCTCTGACTACTTCTCCAGCCTGATTACCTGTCATTATACCCCTCACTCAGCATCACTCCTGCCAACCTGCCTATTTCCCACCCATCAGATATACCATGGTCTTTTTTTTTTAAGATTTAATTATTTATTTATGCATACTGGGGTGCAGGCCAGAGGTGCAGAGGGTGAGAATTCAGCAGAGACAGCATGGGGAGCAGAACAGGTAAAGCTACAGAAATACACTGCTGAGGGGAGCAGCAGGAGAGACAAGAGAGGTCTGCTGCCCCATCAGTGTATGTCAGCTGATCTGCCTGTTCCGCTGCCCATTCATCTCTGGTGAGTCCCCTCTCCCCCCACACCTCTGGCCTATACCAAATTCTTATATGCATAAATAAATATATATTTAAAAAAAACTAAAAATGACCTAAATAATTTTTAAAGACTTATTTATTTATGCATACAGAACTGGGGTACAGGCCAGAGGTGCAGAGGCAGTGAGAAGATTCACCAGAGACAGTGGGGAGCAGAATAGGCCAACTGACAAAGTACACTACTGAGGGAAGCAGCAGGCAGGTCAGGAGAGGTTTGCCGCACCATGTGGATCACCTCTGGGGCGGGGATCAAACTCATACTGAAGTGGCTTTAGCTTCTTAGTGCTGTGCTTTAACCTGCTGCGCCACCAGGGAGGCAGGTTGATAATTTTTAATGCTTCTTTTCCCCAAAGATCCTGTGGTCAAATCTCCAGTTTATACATTCAAGAAAGGCAGTATCTTTGAATCAAGAGCTGAACCCCCATGAGCATTAGACCACCATGGAACCAAGCTCTTGAACCCTGCAGTCTCTGAAGCAGGAGGAGATCAAAGGTGAAATGACCAACTGAAATGGTCACACTCCTGGTGGTCAAGGGAAATGAGAATAATGTTAACTCTATTGTTTATTGAATTCCTGCATTTTTCTAGACACCTCAGTCGATACTCTATGTCCATGATCCCATCTAATTTTCTCAAATAAGTTTTGAGTAGTCAGTTTTTTCAGATGAGAAAACTAAACTATTCATGTGCTTTGCCTTACTCTTTCTAGTATCTGATTGTAATAATGACAAATTTGCTAACCCCCAAGAAAACAAAGATGGAGAACACTTCTGCCCAGAAGTCACCTGTCACAGTGTCAAGGGGAAGTCAAGGTGATGGAGATGACATACTTACTGGTGGTCACCGTAATGCTATTTAAAACACTGTACTGTCTGCCTGCATGTGTCAGTCTTGCTAGACACGCATAGTTCCCTCTGTCATCTGCGGAAACATTATTCACTGAAAGCTTCATTCTCAAAGGAGTAAACCGCTCTCCTTTAATCTCTTTACAGTCCTAAAAAGCAAAAATGAAACAAAAATTGGGGTACTTTTACTTTCCTAGTTACCACTGTCCAGTAAACTGTGAGGGAGATACAAAAAAAAAATCTGTGGTCCTTAGACCTTAGATAACTTTAATTTCTTGAATACAAATATATATATTTGACACAGGATATTTTAAATGAGTGCTATAGATATTAAGTCAATTAAGAGTTGAAAGAAATGAAGCCTACATATGCTAGAAGGACAATTTCATGGAAGAGGATTGGGGCTGAGCCATGAAGAGGTTTAAGAGGAAGATGTGAATAGGCAGTGGTGTCAATACACAGGAACCCACCTCTCCCTGTGAACCACCTTAATGGCATCAAGACCCCTTGCCAAGATTACCCAGGTGAGCCTGACGGCTTCAACTACATCACAGGCCTAATTACATCTTCTCCACCTATTAGGGGTTGGACTTTCCAGAGGCTCAAAATAATTCTTGACCACCATCCTATTTGTAGGGCTTAGCAATAATGAAGTTGGCAGAGTAGCTTATGAGGAGCTGATATCACTTCATTTCTTATGTCACCAATGTTGTTTATACCCATCAAACTAAATTCAAATGTTAAGTACAATACAAAATCCTACACCATTTTTGAAGGGATCCAGAATATTCCTGTGAGCATACAAACTAATTCAAATTTTAAGCAATGTAGCTACAACAATGAAATTGAGTATTTTATTCATTTGCATATCCTACAGTCTAGCAATTCTGAAGCTGGTTATGAGGTACCCACCCCCCCAAATTTCACAATGGCAAGTATGTATTCAAAGACAAGGACAAGAACACCCATTGCCACACTCCTTGTAACAGAGAAAAATGGACACAAATTAAATATGGTGAAACAGAACGGAGTGGCCAAAAATCTATTTTTTTTGAGTAACAGAACTGGTAAATCTCTTATGAATTGAATCAAGTAAGTATGTATGTGTATGCGAGTGAGAGAGAGAGGCATGCAGGGAGAACCAATGTGCTAGAATAGGGTTTTAAATGAGAAGCCTTTTACAGAAATGGCAATAGAAGTCTTGCTAAATTCATGCCAGTATTTAAAATACTTCATAAGTTGGGCAATGTCTTAGAAAATAAAATCTTACCAAAATTCACTCAAGTATAAAAAAGAAAATTGGATATTCCTAATTACTATGGAAGAAACTGAATCAGCAGGTGAAAACCTTCTCACAATTAAAACTCACAACGAGGATAATTGTAGCAAGTGCTGACAAGCCCAGTTAGGGGGGAACTAACTTCAGGTTTAAATCACTATGCTCGTCCATGCCAAGGATAATACTTTATGTGTCATCATCTGCAAGTATAGTCAAGAAAGAGAATGTTTGAAGGTGAAAACACAAGGTGCAGAAAAGTGAATATAGGCTGCATCGTTTGCATTAACAAGGAAGGAGTAGCAATTTCCTATATAGTATAATACAAGGATAATAAAAGCAAGCAACAAACTAATGATTGCATCCACATGTTACGGAAGGGGTGATGGATATAGGGCTAATATGGAGTAGGAAGAGAATTTCCAAGGGGTGACTTTGTGGGTTTTGTGATGACTGAATCATGTACATGTATAGCAGCCATTAAACAGACTAATACATCTCTTAGAAAAATATAAAAAACAAAGATTGCCTGAAAAATAAAAATAATTGGAAGACATGGTAGAAAAAATACAAAACTATGATAGCCAGAAATTTAAAAATAATCAGAAAGATAAATTTTTAAGGGCAATAAGTTAATAAATCTCTTAAATATACAAATCCCTTCATAACTTCTACCTAAAATCCTGCCTTAAACTTTAAAAAACAAGTTGGTTTTGAAACAAGGAGGAAAAATAACAGCAGGAAAAAAATTACCTTATACCATTCTATTGAATCCAAATTCCAACTCTTGGGGAAGTTCAGATGACATGTAAGGCTGTCATCTTTTCCAACATGTAATATTTGTTTATACTCATCTGATAAATCCAGTTGACTTTTTCTGGAAGGGCCACACCATTGTTTTTTTAAAGCAGTTAGGTTTACATGTATGTTATGACACATGTTTGTATCACTGCAAAAAAAAAAAAACAAAAAACTGGCAGATTGAAACCTCATAAACTATCCCCCAAATATAATGATTCTGTTCATCTTCAAATATTTCCAAATCATCTTTAAGGTATTATGCAAACATTCTGTCCCCAAAAGACAATATACAACTCACAAGTCAATTGCAAAAGGGAAGAATAGTATGTAGAAAGTAGAAACACTAGACAGCACCTTAACCAAGTTAAAAAAAAAAATGAAAATCACAAAAGACAGGCAATGAACACCTTGTTCCCCAAGCCTGGGATTGAAAGGGCCACAGCCCTCCCTAAGCCTACAAGGCCAGAACTAAACTAACTCTTGCAGAAATATCTGGTAAGCCCAAATGAAGAAACATAAAAAATAATTGCCTATTCTCTTTTAAAAATGTCATGAAAAACAGACAGAAGACTGTTTCAGATCTAAGCAACTTGAAAATATAAGACAACTCAATGCAATTTATAATCTTGTATTGCATCAGAGTGAAAAGGAAAGAAAAAAATGTAATAAAGATCATATTACAAAAGACTTATAAAATTAGATTATGGATTGGAGATAGATAAATGTGATGGTTAAATTTTCTGAATATAATACTGTGATTATGTAAAAGAATATTATTTTTGATAGGAAAAATGCGTTGAGACATTAAGGGGTAAAGGAACCTAATATATACAACTCAAATTACCTGGAAAAAATAAACACGTGGGGAGAGAATGATAAGGTAATATGGTAAAATCTTAAACAATGGGAATCTAGTTAAGGGTAGGGAGCACTCTTTATACAGTTCTTGTCATTTTTATGTAAATATGAAATTCTAAATAAAAACATACAATTTATTAAATAGGCCTCATGTCTAGATATGAAAGGTTGTGACATTGTCTTCCCTAACAGAAAAACCAATGTGCTTTTCTACTTTCTGTGAAAAACTGCCTGCCTCCCCATTTCATAGCTTCTAGATTGAAATATTTTAAATGTAGCTCTGACACTCAGAAGAAAATGTGTGAGCTACTATCTCCAACTCTAGTTAATTTACAACCTAGAATAAAACAAGAGAACTGATCACCACAAACTGCAAGCTCCTGATCTATCAGTAAGTGAAATTCCGGAAAGGTGTCAGGCAAACAGGACTGACAACTACCTCCACTGTGTGCTACTAAGTCATTTTGTTCCTCACCAATCTGACATTCAGAAATGAGGGATCTGGCCAGACTCAGACTGGGACATGGAAAGTTCTCTTGTTTTATTCTAGGTTGTGAATTAACTAGAGTTGGAGATTGTAGCTCACACATTTTCTTCTGAGTGTCGGAGCTACATTTAAAATATTTCAATCTAGAAGCTGTGAAATGGGGAGGCGGGCAGTTTTTCACAGAAAGTAGAAAAGCAGACATTGGTTTTTCTGTTAGGGAAGACAATGTCACAACCTTTCATATCTAGACATAAGGCCTATTTAATAAATTGTATGTTTTTATTTAGAATTTCACATTTACAAAGGGCAAATACCAGTACCACCAAATCAAAACATGAGAGGGAAAATGCAACTGCATTTTTGGAGGTCCTGCTGTGCACATGATCTCAGCTAATTTTCATTTCGAACCTATCAGATCAGCATTATTTCCATTTTGCAGAGAAAACCAAGGCTCAGAGATGTCAGATAATTTGTTAAGGTCTAGCAAGGAAAGGATTACAAACTTGGAGCCCTCAAGCAAACTTGGTCCACAGGTATGTTTTACACATGCTTTATAAACTGAAGTCATACACACATACAACATTCACTCTACTTTCCAGGTTCTGTTTAAAAATTGGAAAATTTACTTGAGCTAAATAGATCAGCACCTTTGGTGAGACACACACTTCAAGTTCACCACAGTCTCCATCAAGCTCAATTTTCTCTCCATATCATGTTTTTCTATCACATCCTGTCACAAGATTTAGCATGAAACATATCTGATGCTAAGTCATTGTTAAGTTCCATTCGCAGTTTCCTCACATAAAGTTACCTGAAGGAGGTTTATTCCTATTTGAATGTACCACCTGACAAAAAGTTGGCCTTCCAGGAAAAAAGGCATTGATAATATTGAGATAAACACATTTTCTAAGTTGGTCTGACTCATGGACCATTTATTTCAATGAGAAAAAATACATTTCATGTTCCAACAACAGATTTATAAATTAAAAAACAATCTTATAACAACTGTAAAAGTATGATTTATTCTCCCCATTAAGTTTCCTTCATTTAAAAATGTATTAAGAAATTCTCTAAAAGAGTTATGAATATTATATTTATATTATATAGTGAGATATATGAGAGAGAATTCTATTTTAAATGAGGAACTTACTTTATAACACATTGGTAGATCCCAGAGTCTCCCAGTGCCAAGGGGAGAAACAAAATCCAATTTTGGTACTGGTGAATTCTAGACTGTGTATTTTTGGATATTGGGGTTCTGTTAGGATATTTATACCATGTTACATGGACTTTCCCAGTTGTTAGAGGAGGGTATGTGCAATTAAAAGCAAAAGGCTGGTCTACTGAAGGCGTCTCATTTTGCATACTAACATCGTTGCATGAATCTAGGGAGAGAAAGGGAAAAGCGATCATATAAGAGAACTTAAATGTCATTTAATATACTGTCTAAACAAATGCTTTTTTAATTTTCTAGCCAAGTCGAAATTTTATTCTGGAGTTTCCTCTGTGTGGGGATTTACTAAAAAATAGTTTGATGATCGGAAAGCGTAATTGGAAGGCGTTTACATGTGTCCATAAGGAAAGGAACTTGCCAGATTTCCTGTTCATAAGACACTAACCCTACTTGAAGCGATTTCCCTCTTTCCGTCTATTCTAAGGACTCTTCATTCTTTCTCACTCCTTCAAAGACAGTGTTCCATTCTGAGCCCTCCTTGTCCTAGTTTTTTTCTGTTCTGCCACCCCGTTGCTTCACCCTGTCTTGCATAAAAAATATACATTTCTTATCCCAAAAAGGATTGTGAAAAAATCCATTCACGCTCAAGTTCGTTTTTACCAAATTGCTTAGCTCTCCTTGGAAGAAATTTGTTCTGTGATGGAGTCTTTGTTTTTACTTAGATCATAGAAAGCACTTGAATGAAAAGTATTTACATCAAATTAACCTAACTAGTCCCTCTCTCCAAAGTCACCTCAAAGCTCAGAGACCCTATTGGCCCTGAGCATCAGACACTTGCAAGAGAAACTTGCCGTTTCCCCCACTCCGCGGAATTTCGCGGGTCCCGCTGCCGAAAGCGTTTTCACCAAAGGTGCGTAAGGTGCATGTCACGCTAACCCGGAGGCACCCCGGGGGTTCGCGCGAGCCATAGGAAGGCGCGTAGGGAAGGGAGACCCCCGAAACCCAGGACTGAGCACGTACCTGAGCTGATAACCAGAGACAGAGCGCTGCACACGCCGAAGAACAGCAAGGACAGCATCCTGGTGCTGAGCGGCGGTAAGCAAGGATGGGAGGGGCTGCAACGCGGCCGGGGGCCACCCGCTCGCGCCGGCCGCGCCGGCTCCAGCGCCCTTTGCGACTTAGAGAGCTCCACCTGTGGGCCTGCGTTTACCGGGAAGCGAGCACCAAAGACTGCGCTCCCTTTCGTAGGGCCCCTCCCCCCTTACTCCTCGAGCCGGACCTCCAGAGTCCTGGGAAAGACCAGGGGATGGAGAGGAATCAGGCTGGAGGAGTGAAGTCGGTTCCCCTGGAACGCGCCTTCGCTTCTGTGGGAACCCCCGGCATCCCCTTCGGCCACCTGGCACGGAGGTTCGGTCGGTGTCCTGTGCTGGAGGCAGAGCCAGGGTGTCCTGCCTGCGCCGCGCCGGGTCCCAGCCCTGCTCAGCCGGCGTCCACCCGTGCGCTGCACATTGCCTTCGCTGCGGGTCCTCGATCTCCGGATCCCCGCGGGTGGGGTGAAGCAGATGGAAGCCGTAAACACCTGCTGACTGGGCAGAGGCCAGCTGTTGCCTAAAAGGCCAAGGCCAGGCTGGCAGGAACCGGGGGTGGAAGCCCAGTGCCGCTGGAGAAACCGGGGAACCGAATCAGTCTTGAACTCTTGGCGGTTTCAACTTCTAGCCCCAGACTCGAGCACGTTTTTACCATCTCTTCCCTTCTAAACTTTCCCTACCCTCTGCACCTCAATCCCAGTGGGCTCACCCAGAAGATTCCCAGACCAGTATCCACCTGCCAGTTGAGACTGGGGCGTGCAGGAACTCCCACTGGGTGAATGAACCTTACAAGGCATTTCCATTTCAGGCTTTCCCCGCTGCTGTATGGGTGGAGCAGGCCTACCTTCCCCAGGGCCAAAGTAGGAAGAAGAAGGCGACATCACGCTAGGGAGTTGGCTTAAAGACTTTTTGGCTGGCTTTCTGGCAGCTAACAAGATCCCCATCCGCAATAATTGCTCCAATCTATTCCAAATTGTCCCTGTAAATGCATTATTCACTCCTCTCCAAAAACTGTTTGAGCAGTCACGGCATGCCCTGTGTTGACATTTAGAAAACGGACATATAGAAAACTCCCCAAAAGGGTAAGTCATCCCAAAGGGCTATAACGAATTTCATTCACCTACCTGAGTCATGCTTGTTAACCTCTATAAGACAGAAATCAGTCATCCCCAAATACCTAGAATAGAAAACTATTCCTGTCTAAACTTCCAAAGAGAAATCCTTCACCCAGACTGTCAGGCAACATCCTAGAGATGTCCCTCAGGTATCTCAAGTGTCAGAGCCCAAAATTTAGAAAACAATGTAAAATGTAATCTGCATTGCACAGGTTCTTGATCAAGCTATTTCTGCTGGTCTTTATAGAACTAGAGACAGTAACACTCAGCGCCCATAGAAGTAGGGAGAGGAACACAGTTTCTTTAGCTGGAAAGCGTTCTGTGACAGGCTGGGCAGCAGTGGTTACCTATGTCTACATTCTTAAAAGTTATTGAAGATTTCAGAAGTGCTTTTGTTTCTGTCAGTATTTGCTATGTCTGGTATTAAATGAAGTTCCTAGGTAAATAAATATTTTGCATGTTTTATGTCCCAAGCCAACCCAAAACAAAGTTGTTGATATTTTTAAAATGTTGCAACTGGGCTACAAACCTTTTGTTAAAAACAGGGTTGTATTCTTAGGTAAATTGTTTTTTCACTCAACATTATATTTGTCAGATTCAGATGTTTTGAGGAATATAGTTCCGGTTCACTCAAGGTCACTACCATGTACTAGTACATCTTTCTTATGAGTTTACCCCAATTTATAGAGCCTTCTCCTTTGGACATTCGGATTATTTCACATTTGTATTTCTTCTTAAAATAGTACTGTAGGGCCCTCCCGGGTGGCGCAACAGGTTAGGACGCAGCACTGCAAGCTGGCTGCAGCAGCTCCAGTGAGAGCTCAATTCCCGGCCCCAGAGTGACCCACATGTCGATGCAGACCTCTCCTGACCCGCCCGCTGCTCCCCTCAGCAGTGTACTTCATCAATCTGCCTGTTCTGCTCCCCACTCTGTCTCTGGTGAAGCTTCTCACCATCCCTGCACCTCTGGCTTGTACCCCAGTTCTGTATGAATAAATAAATAAATCTTAAAGTAAAATAGTACTGTAAGTGAAGATTTTTGTAACGATCTGTTGTGTGGCTTTTTAAAAGATTGCCTCATGAGTGCCATTACAGGATCATTGGCTAGGTATAATCAATGTATAATCATTTGCATGTATGCCTTTGAAATGTCTGCATGACTTTTCCCAATGTTTTATTTTCCATTTATTTTTATTAGAGGTAATGCTAAATTTATATTCCTTGAAAATAGAAATCAGGGTACAGAAGCATAGTGCAGCATAGGTGCAGCATGGTAGCATAGATGACTACAGAAGTGTACCTGTCTAGATAATTTGAAAACAACAGCACATAGAAATATTTCATCTGGAACTTTATGATACTGGTATCTTAAATATATATAATCTAGTCATTGATATTATTAGAATTCCCTAATTTTCTATAGATTAGTATTATTTAGAAAATAATACAATGTTTCATGTTCCTGTCAATATTTGGTAATATCTGACAATTGCATTTGCCAGTTTTGACAGTCCACTGATGTAAAGACTATCTTATGATTTTTGTCTTATGTTTCCCTAATTACTAGTCATATTTTTGTCTGTGTTAATATGCCATTCATGTGTTCTCTGTTTGAAGTCCCTTCTTGTATGCTTTGCCTATATGCTGGGTCTTCTCCTTACAGGGAGTTCAAATCCCAGTATCACCCTTAGCTACAAGATAGCAATGATGGCCCACATTTCAAAGGTGACATTTCTAAACCTTCCTAGCAAAATTTTTAACTAAAATATAGATTTGTAATAAGCTCAGTTTATTTATAATAATCTTCCTATTAACCCCTTGTCTTAACTTTTCCCCCAGAGGGAATATTCTTGAATGTTTATACCATTAGTGATAAGCCACAGATAATGAACTCTATTAATTGATTTATGGAGATTTCTTAATTTAAATGTACAAATTCATTGCCTTATCCTGACAGCAGGGGAAAGCAAGCACCTTTGCCAGGTGGAGACAGTACTAAGTTCACCTGGGTGAATTTTACCTTCAGTCTATTTTATACTGCTGGGCCAAAGACAGACTATTGCAGGATATGCCTCAGGGGTAGGCTGATTATTTGTAATTGAAAGAATTAAGAGAAGATCTAAGAATGATGTTTTGCCTAATTATTAATCCCCTTAAAAATAGGAAATAAATCTTCAGTGAGGTTCTGGAGGAGAAAGCCTTATCTCTTTTAGTTAGGTCTATTTCCTAAAGCATGTGTAGATAAACTCCACAAAATCTTTTTTCTTTAAGTCACAGAGTACTTTTGCTTTTCCCTCATAAATTTATTGTGCCTTTTCTGGAAACTGTATAACTTCACTGGAATGACCAGATAACACATTCAATTATTTCATGTAAGGTATGTAATTAAAATTTGTCTTTTCTATAGCTAATCTCTCTTCTGTCAATTTTATTATTGTCCATCTTACAGAATTAGAAGGGTAAAGGAAAATTAGCTTCCTCCCCAGTAGTATTCAGACCAGAATGTATATATTTGTATTCAGAAAGTATCAGGGCAATGTTTGTTTTTTTTTATTAAAGTTTTCATATGCAAATGTATGGAATGTGTAGTAACTGTTGTATGTCATAACTAAATATCTAATAATTTTCCAGTGAAAATAACCTGCTGGTAAATTTTCCCAGTGAGATTGAAGCAGAAATATGTTCACATGTGGCAATGAAGGATATGAAATATGAAGTGAAACACAGTGGTACACTTTCCTAATAAGGAAAGATTTTACTACAGAAGTAATAGTGTATTTGAGGCCAGGGTCGGACAAGAGTCTACCAGGTAACTGTGTAGAGGAAGTGCTTTCCCTGTATAAGAAATAACTATTAATACTACAAAACTCTGAAGTAGGAAACAATTAGGGAACTTCAAAACAACGGAAGGGAAGCCTGTGTGACTAGAATACAGGGATGAAGTGGGACTGAGTGAAGTCACAGCTCAGGCAGGCACGAGATCATGGGGAAAGGGAATTCCTGTACGGAATCAAAAGAGGGTTAGAACTTACTCTAGGTGACATCAAAAGCTATTAGAACTTTTAAAGCAGAAATGAGATACACTCTCAACTACATTTTAGATGCCATACTGGCCATTAAAAACTCACCAAAGTGGCTAAAATTATATAAACTGCCAGACCCAAATTGTGGTAAGGACGTGAGCCAACTGGAGTTGCTGATAGTGCCAGGGAGAGTTCAAGCAGCACAGTCTCTCAGGAGATGTTTACACCATTTCATTGTAAGGTCAGTGAGAAAATATAATACTGGTTGACTTAACCTCACAGTTTCCGAGAAACCATAGATGACATGAAGTGAGGACTTACCTATCTACTGCTAGACCTAACTCAGCAGATTGAAGTGTGCATGTGTTTACCAAATTAGCTATTTGATAAAATGCTCATGACAGCAGTTTTCATAATAGTCAAGCTAGAAATTAACCAAATGTGTAGTCTATCAACAATAGAAAGGATAGAGTAACATGATGTCATTCTGTACAGCCATGAGAAATAACTCTGTATAAATGCAGGCCAAAATATGGTTGAATCACACAGATACAAAGAAAGTCAAGCAAAAGAAAATTCTCATACTACATGATTCCAGCTATTTAAAATTCAAAAGCAGAAGAAATTAATAGACACTGTTGAAAGTGGTTTCCCTTAGGATGGGATCAATGAGTGACTTTGGTGGTGGAGGGTTACAAACAGGCATTCTCTGTGTTGGTTGTCATCATTTCTTTACCTGGGTGCTGGCCGCTTGTATATATTCTGTCTGTGATACTTCATGGAGATGTTCCTGATATGTCCTTTTGTAAATGTAGGTTCTCTTTCAATATAAAGCCACAGAAAGTGTGTTCTAGGTGCTTTGTAAAGAATTGCCTGTGAGTGGTGAGTCACAAGGAGAAACGTGGCCCTGGCTTGGAGACTAGACCACAGAAGAGACAAAGTGGTTATATTTTAGGCCTAAAACACTGGGGATGAACAGAGGGAGACCAAGTATGGGTTCATTTAAATGTGTCTCTGGTCTTTTTGGGGGGGAGATGGGGGTAGAAATCTTGTCGAATTTAGAGAATCAAAAAAAAAAAAATCACAGGGTTAGAATAGAACCTAACTTTTGACTATGTCTTGGGCACAGCATAGTGTAACCATCAAGACTTTGAAGCCCTCACAATCTGTGATTTTGTTTCATGTTGTACACATACACTAAGTGGTAATAGCACCTCTGTATTCACCTAACATAGCACCTCACCAGTTTAATCCCACATCCGGTTTCTCAATCTCTTCATAGCCCTGCCATGGGTTAATTCGTCTGGGCTTCCCTGGTGGCACAGAGGTTAAAGACACACTGCTATCCAGCTACAGCCAGTCCTGACCCTGGAGGTGACCCACATGGCGCAGCAGACCTCTCCTAACCCGCCCGCTGCTCCGACTGTACTTCGTCAGTTGGCCTGTTCTGCTCCCCTGTCTCTGGTGAATCCTCTCACCACCCCTGCATTTCGGACCTGTATCCCAGTTCTGTGTGCATAAATAAATAAATCCTTAAAAATAAATAAATAAATAAAAGATTTGGGGGAATAGTATGTCCTGAATGAACTCCACCCACTAATGTTTTTATGGGCTCCACCCTACTCCATGCAAAGAGATCCCAAATGCTGAGGACCACAACTCCCATCATGCCATAGGTAGTCATAACCCTTGACTTCTTGGAAAGGAGAATGCTGGGATATAAGGGTGAAGCTAAGCAGCATGCTAATTTGAAAAGGAAGTATCTGTGGGCCCTTTGGCAACTGGGTTTTTCCTGCCTTCATTGTGCACCTGGGCTCCCAGCTCAGGCAGCATTTCCTGTAGAATATACTGACCAGTTAATCTCTATTTCTCCCTTCACCCTCTGAGCTCCCCCCTCTTTTCATTTTCCTTGTAAATGAACCTTGTATTAACCTTTCTACATGTGTATTAACCTTTCTACGTGTGTCTCCCTTTGGGGCTTGTTCTGAGTTTTCTTTAAGCTTGTAAGACTTCACACCCAGGCTACCCCATTTCCCTTTGGGGTTACCTTGTAACACAAGCAATCTCACTCCCAGAATATTCCTCTGAAAATAAACCCAGTGAGCAGCACAATGGTGTCTGTGCAGCCTGTCCCAGAAGCATGAACTAAGTGACACTTGGGATCACTTTCAGGCCAATTGTCCTAAGAAAAACAAACTCACTGACTTTCACTCTGAGGAAATGAATCTCCCAACTGGTTGAGCACACTGTTAGAGAAGTGGTGGTATCCTGTGAATCTGGAGTCAAATGGTTCAGGACCAACTGGTCTAACAGCTCTAAATTTTATGACTGCTGCAGTAAGGTGTGGGCTTCATGAGACTTAAGCCACATACAACTGCTGTGAACCTCAAGGAAACTAAGACATTTCTTTGACATCTTAGATTGTGTTCTTGGATGGACTAGAATGATTCCAGCCTTGGGCAGTATAGGTTTTAATAGTAGTAAAATAAAATACATTCTAGCTTGTCAGAATCATAGTGTCCACCTTATATAAGAAGCCTCTCTACTATAAAATAATTTGGAGAAAATATAAACAGGTGGATCAAACTTAATTTCATAGAGATTCAAATTCAAGACATTTGAGGAATTAGCCTATCTTTCTTTATCTTACAAATAGAGTCTTTTATAAGATCAGAGGTGTGACTTTGGTGAAAAACTTACCCATCCAAAATCTCTTTTTTCTTCCCCTAGGTATTTAGAGAAGAAAAATATCTGGCCTTAGGAAATTGTGATGAAAATATTCTGAAGTTACTGTTGATGACTTTGTTTGAAATATTTTATCAAAAAAAAAAACAACTTGTGTCATTGAGCTATGATCTGCAGTGATAGTAAACTGAGTCTTTTTGTAACTTTAAAAAGCTGAAACATTTGCTTTCTATATTTCCATGATACACCAAAATGTGAACTTTATGAAGTATTTATATTTTTCATAACAATGTGTTTATTTGCACAGATCCGTAAGCTTTGCTTACATTATGGCTCACACGGGAATGAGTAATTTGGAGTGTTTCATTGAGAAACTGTTACTAGGAATATCCTATCTCCACTCTATGCACAGAAATTTTATTAAAGATATTTCACACTAAGAGTCTGCTTTCAAAAAGAAAAAAGTCTGCTTTCTTTGTTTAGAGATGGTGGATCCCTTGAGAGGATGCATCCCTTAATAATTTGGGGTCTCTGGGTGTCCGTCAGTCATGTCAGTCATGCATTATCACTAGCCAGTTACATTTTAAAGATCAAGCTCTCCATTTTGTTCATTTCCTACATCAAAGGCAAAAATAAATATTAAACGTTTGTACAATTTAAAAGTCTGTACCAATGGTATCCCTGTCCTCATCTGGACAAATAAAGAGTTACTAAGACATCTGAATCAATTTAAAACAAGTAAACAGATGGATTACCCAGTCGTTTAGAATTTTGTGTGCTGTACCAAAAGCCCTTGTTTGCATTTATGGTGGGTGGTGACTGGACCCAGCACCAGTGAGAGTGGTTCTGACTCCTTGACAGAATTTAAATCCTTTCCCCAGTAACAACAATACTCAATATTGAATACCAGGTTTTATTGAAAACAAGTACGGTCCAGTGATTCGATGATGTTGCTTTAATGCAAAAAAACAAAAAACAAAAAAAACCACAATTGATATTTGCTGAATTATACAAACACGTTAAAAAAAAAAAAAAACCTTCATCTTTATCCAGTACAAATACAACTTATCAAAATGTCATTTTAAAAAAAAAATGGCTCAATACCTTCTCATTCATCACAAAGTAAGCAGAGTAAAGACAAGGAAAATATAAATTCTGCTCAGTGTTTTAACAACTGGAAATGAAATACTTTGGCACACTTGCAGCTTTTCTTAAACACTTAGGTTGACAAAACAATTCCCATTAGCTAATGCAGTGAAAACTAATTAATGGAAAAGGCTGAAAAGGAAATGTTTTAAAAGGTTTTGAGGGAAAACAATAAAAATCAAGGACATTTCAGGGAACTGGGAATTAGCTGCTTCTCTAGACTCCACCCCTCATGGGTGTGGAGATGACACTGCATTTTCCTGTTGGGGCTCCTCTGTCCTCCACCCCCTCCTTGTTTGTTCTTCCTCCCTAAATTCCAGCTTTAATGTCATTTGCAATTCTTGGTTGTTTCCTGTCTTCTTCCTTTCTGTCTAATTTTACTGCTAATTCTAAGTTCTGAAATGGCTCTCTTGGCAGTACAGCCAAACACACTCATTCTTTTACACTAAGCACACACCATCCTCATTTGCAAGTGTAGGGGTCCTGAGGTGCCCTCAGTCTGTGCACTACTAGACAAACTAACAGTGTTTAAAGCGTTTGGTAGGCCTTTTGGGGGCTCTGTGGCCTCCAAGCTCATCCCCCCAGACTTCTGTTGGCAATCTGTCTGAACCTCCAACTTCCTTTGAAAATAGCAGCAACCCAATGGCACTGCTACTCAATGCCATCAGGTCAGATCCCAGAGAAAACAGGGAGAGGGAAGAATCAAGTATTAAACTCTGTTTTTGTCTAGCTCTACCCTTGTTCATCCAACTTTAAAACTGCATTTGCCTTTGACTAAGTGGCTCACAGACTTGACTTTGTAGTTTTCCAGGGTTCCTCTAATGAGCCTGAGGAATATCAGATATAAAAATATTTTTCTATGCCACATAAAATTTGCTTTCATTTTTAATTTACTAAGAAATATTTACCTTTGGGGAAAGGTATATGGTAGCAGGAATGCTTTTCACACAATCTATATATTATTATAATTTCTGCAAATCCCAACATTCAGAAGCTTGAATTGGTTTCTTAAAAGCATTCCTAGACTCAGCCCTCTCCTAGAAAACTATTATTTCTTCTCACAAAAGTGAGAGCACTACAGCTAAAGGGAAGATTTGTTGACCTGAAATCAACTATGCCAAACAATGAACTAGAAGCCAGCAGTTGGAGATGTCAGTTTTAATTTCCATAATAATACTAAATGTAATTAAAAAAAAACCAGGTATCTTGTTCTTTCTATAAAATTAGGAATAATTGTTAAAAATTAAATATCTGTGAACACTTTTAAACAATAAAGCACAACACAAATCATTGTCATATGTGCAAATTACATGCGAGGGCATCATAGATAAAAAGACAAACCCACAGCCTCTTCCTCAGAGAGCAGGCTCCTTGCTGGAGAGGGAATGACCAATCTTCTTATGTGATAGCTAGCAGTACTCAGAATTAGACTAAGAGGAAAATCTATCTTAGGGCAGTCTCTTAAGGAAAATGGAGCTGGAGTAAAATTTTAATTTCAGTACAATTCTGGCTGGTCAGAGAAAACTGTAGAAGGTACCAGAGAAGATAGGGGAGAGGCAGAGATGAAGGAACCCAGGGCCAGGTCCTGGCTGTGGGAGGCTGACCTGGGAATTCACATAGCAGGGCAGAGCGGGCCGCTGTGGGGACAGGCCACAGCGAAATGCCACTAGAATGACTTGGGCTTTAGCTCCTTTAACAAGAGGAGCCTGGGGAAGTATTTTAGCAAGAGTAAGATCAAACAAAAGCAGTGTTTTATGAATGGTGGAGCATCTATGGGTCCTGTGTGTGACAGAGCAGAGGGAAGAAGAGCCTTAGAAGTTGTCCTTCCAAAGAGTGGCTGAGTCAAGGAAAACATAGGAGAAAATGGAGAGGAATGGTCATTGCAGGGCGGAAACAGTAAGGGCATTTCAATTCTCCATCACTCTTACTGACATTCTCCCTTTCCAGTGAGAAGCTGATATTTCAAAACCTTGGAATCCTAGCGAATCCCTTAGTTTACTGAAGTGGTAGTTGTAAAGGTCTGCAACATGAAAGGCAGACTGGGAAACTGCTGAATGTTGACGCTTGTGCTAATAATACAAAGCAAATGAAAGTAGAAGATTCCTTCCGCTTTCCCTGGTGAAATACCAGCCTCACTTCCTTGCAGCACTGCCTGGGGGAGCCCACAAGGCCCAGTGGTCCAGCAGGCCCCAGACAGAGCCACAGCTCCACTCTGGGACTTCGGACAATGTCATGAATCCTGTCCACGATAAATCTCTCCTTCATGTCCTTTCCTTTTGTTTGCTCTTCCAGTGCCTTTGCGCAGCAGCTCAAACATGCAGAGAGGGCCACTGCTGCCTTTTTAAAGGGCTTCCAAGCCCTCTGCTCTGAATTGCCCTGACCTATTGTCACCATGTCCTGTTCCCTTAACATCCAATTCAGGTGACCTTGGGTACAAGGGACTATACAGATGCATGTAATGGCTCTCAGTCAGTAGGGACGCGGTCCAGTCTGCAATGCGATAAAACAGGAGTCACCTGAGGACTCTGGGCCCAGCTTGCCCCACTATCCAAGAGGCACCGGGACCTGACTATGCAGCTCCTCCTTAGAGTTCGGCCTAGTGCCTGGAGACAGCAACTGTTGCTTGATTGAAGACGGTTGTTGCCGGGCTGGCAGGTGGTACCTGACATTTTTCCAGAACCGTGTCTTTGCAGACTGAGACTCAGCTCTAACGTCCCCTGACCAACATATGGCCCCCTGTTTCCGCTTAATGTATTTAATAGATTCTGGCATTTTCTCATCGTCTTGGATTTTCTCCAGCTCGAGCAGGACGACTTTAATTCCATCTTGAATGAGAGCATTGTACATTGCTATTTGTTCTTCAGATGAACTCGCCAGCCAGCTAAACCCCAGTGCCCCTCGAACCAGAATGATAATTAGTCTTCTGCTTTTCTTTATGTTTTCATTAGTGACCTCCATAATGTCTGCAACACATGAAGTACAGCATGGAAAGTCAAATTTGAGTTAATAGTAATTCTCCCAGGACCATGCCAGCACATCTGTGTCTCCCACTGCTTTTTTGTAACCTTCAAAGCAAGGGGATACAGACTAATTCAAACGTTGATCCATCAAAATTGAATGTTTCATTTAGAATTCAAACTAGTTTCAGCAGAATTGTAAAAACCTTCTTGCTAAATCATGTGATCTATACCATTTCTATTCTATTGTATAAATCATGTGATCTATACCATTTCTATTCTATTGTATAATTGTAACATAATTATTGGATCGAACTTGTGGTTTCAGTTTTCAAAAATTAAATGGAGGATCTGCATTAAATAAATGTGAAAACCATTATCATGCACCCAAAGAGGCTGTTATAATGATCAAATATGTACACCTATGTTAGTCTGATAGGAAGATGAAGCCCAGTATTTCGTTTAACAATAAGACTTTTGCTTTATTCCATTCTATACATACCTTCTCCAACATCATCATCCCTTCCATAAATGAACAGCTTATAGCCACACTGCTTTTCCAAGACCTCAGGCAAGATTTTAAACACAAAAATATCTGAATCAGAGGTGGATCCTTCACCAAGGGTCTTTGGGTATAGTATGTATGCATCATAGGTCTTTCCATCTGAAGCTAAGGGGGAAATATATTTATAATCAAAAGAACAATTTGGTAAAGTCAGTATTACAGATATGCATTAAAGAGCTAATTATTAATTTTTATACAATGGTATAAATGAAGCAACATTATCAAAAGAATTATCTTTTAAAGTGTTCATCCCTTCAAAGTTTATTTTGTTTATTGTGTTTTTACTACAAAGCACTAGATGACCAACTCATATAAAGAGACACTTTTTCTTTCACTGTGGGAACTATTCATATCCCCACCCCACCCCCAACTGTTTCAGACCTGATATCTATCAGTTCTTTTCCTATGTTAATGTTGTTTTAGCCTGTTGCAATCTATAAGCAAAAGAGAAAGGAAGCACTTCCTTGCTGCATGAAAATGGAGTCATTTCTTTATTTGACCATGTATGCATGTCCTGCTCAGCCTAGAGGGAGTTCTCAACAATGGTTTCTGAATTACTGGACTTATGAAGAGATGCTTTAGATGCCTATTTATCCACCATCATTAAAGCAGTGATTTGAAAACAATGCTACTCAGTCATGAAACTGTAATTAATGTAAGTAACATTTACTCTTATACATGTCACATTAAAAGAGTATGTTCTCTTAATTATCCTCTACATCTTAACTATCCCCTCTCTCTAAAAGAAAATACTGCATAGAGTCCAAAACTGTACCTTTGGGGGAAAGGAAATCATAGCAAGAATCCCTGTACCAAAGCACAATGTCAACCTTGAAGATTTTATAGATGAAAACAGAGGATGTAATTACGACTGTTAACATCACCAGTATACCAATTGTATGCTTCTGGAAATCAGGGACTATAACAGAAAAGAAGGCAAAATTATTAGAACCAAAATAATTACAATTTGAGCATAACGATTTAAATATCATCCCAGAGAAACCATATTTGGCATTGAACAAGTCTGTAAGTCCAAATCTGAGGCAGCATTTCCCCAGTCATTATCATTATTTACTAGTGGATACTAATGTGCAAAGCAGTCTAGAACGGATACCATATAAAACCAATGTGTGCTGAATTAAATTTCCACCTTAACAGTATAATATACAATAATGTAGAAAAAATTCCAAACATAGCTACAGCACTTCAGAGTAAAACAAAACAAAGTCAAAATCACTTAATAGCCAACAAGAATTCCTGGAGCTAGGACAGTATATTCGGGAAAGCAGAGAACTAGAGGATAGGGAGCATGAGTGAGGGTACCCAAAGAATTGATTCAAATGACCACATTCCCTTGGCTTTGATTTCCAATTATTCATTCAATGATTGTAGTTTATGAGGGGCTGGGAAGAAAGAGAAGAAGAGGGAAAAGAAGAAAGTACTTCTTAATGTTAGGATAATATAAGCAACCAGAAAAGACTATCAATAAGAAAGTACTTCTTAATGTTAGGATAATATAAGCAACCAGAAAAGACTATCAATAAGCTCTTCCATTTTATTTTTCCAATTTAGGTCTTTGATCCATCTGCAATAGACTGGAATCTAAAGTAGACATCAAGATAAGCCCTTTGGCCCAAATGAACTCCAATATCCCATGAGCCTAACTGCATGTTCACATTTATAGAATTAATTAGTGCTGTTTCATACGAGACTGTGATATCTGTAGGACAAATCTCCCAGATATGCTGCTGTTAGTCAAGACCACTGTGGCTACTGTTGGACCTTTACATTTCCGTATGGCTTTTAGAATAAACTTTCTAACAATAATACTCCCACACCTGCACAAATACTGCTAAATTTTGATTAGAATTGTTTTGAAACTATAGATTCATTTTGGGAAAACTGGCATCTTTATAATATTGCCACTCAATCCATATTGATTATCCCTCCCTCTATTAGGTCTTCTCAAATTTATTGCAATAAAGTTCTTTGTTTTTCAAAGATCTTGACATGTTTTGCCAGGTTTATTTTTAAGTATTTTATATTTTTGATGCTATTCTAAGTGTTATCTTTTAAATTTAATTTCTATTTCTTAATTCTTGACATTTATAGGTATATAAAGAAATATTATATAGAGCTATTGACTAGTGATCTTGTTAAATCCACTAATTCTGATTACTCACATATAATTAATTCATTGACTAATTCTAATCATTTATAGATTATTTATAGATTATATCAAGTGCATATTCATAAATATCTTGCTTTAAATCAACTATAACTAATCTAAAAATATTTCACAACTGCTTTCAATACTGCGTTTGATTATGCAGTTCTTAAAAACTATAACATCTGACATCCTCTCCAGAAAGTGGATATGTACGGTTCCCTGATGCATACATCATAAGTCATTTACCTAAAAATACTTTTTTTAGGCACCTACAATATATGACACTTAAGTTGATAGTAACTCTGAAATAGAGTAATTAGTAAGACAAATGTGTGCACATCAAAAATTTATAGTCAAGGAAAGAACACTCAGCATAACTGATACTATGACCAAGACATATGGCACAATGGAGATAGATAACAGAGACCCTAACTTCATCTATCTGAGCAAAAATCTGGGTTAAGTGCAAGTTGCAGAATAGAAAAGTTTCCTACAAGAAGATAGTTTGTCAAAGAAGACAGAAGTGGAAGAGGAATAAAAATTACTCAGTTTAAGAAGAATTTAAGATCGTCACAGGCAGAGGAAATAGCGTTGCAAAATACAAGGTCATATGCTAAAATAAAACTGCAATTCAAATAAACAGTTGTGTTGTTTACCTGGATGTACTAGTTGGATATATGCTGTATCCATACCCTGTGTATTTTTGGCAAAGCAGATAAATGGGTGTAGATAAAATTTACTTTCCACTGCTGAAATGTTAAGCTCTGCTATGATTGTGCTATTTTTTTTGTCTAAAGGATTATTTATTCTGTTCAAAAAAGAAAATAAACAAGAGTGTTTAAGAAAATTGCACAACTACACATAAGAAATATGTACATGGTTTATCTCTTTATTTGTCATATAAATCACAGCAAAAATTATCACCAGCCCTAATCACAACATAACAATAAGGCTGTTAGAAATAATAGGAGCCAGAGTCCTCCCTGGTGGTGTAGTGGGCTAAAGCACAGCACTAAGAAGCTAAAGCCACTTCAGCATGAGTTCGATCCCCGCCCTAGAGGTGATCCACATGGCGTGGCAGAACTCTCTTGACTTGCCCGCTGCTCCCCTCAGCAGTTTACTTCGTCCGTCTGCCTGTTCTGCTCCCACTGTCTCTGGTGAAGCCTCTCACCACCCCTGCACTTCTGGCCTGTACCTCAGTTCTGTATGCATAAATAAATCTTTAAAAAGAAAAGAAATAATAGGAGCCTTCAGAACCTTAAGTCCAGCTATTACTGATTTCTGGTCCCACTTAATGAATGTTTTCACGTTTTCAATACTTAAAAAATGAATGACATGAAGAATAATTCAGGAAAGCTGCTTCATCGGAATGTTGATATCTTTGTCTAAATTAATATTGATATATATATATTGTGTGTGTGTGCACACACAATGTATATACATATACACACACACATATATATATATACACACACATTGTATATCTACACACACACATATTTAAAAATTTAAGAGAACGCCTTTCAAGTACTTTGGATTTTACATCAAGTTTGCATGTATTTTTACCTTAAATGTTCAAGATCTTATAAATCTTATTTCACTTAGCAAAAATTCAATATGGGCAGCAAAGGATTAAGAACCAAACAACTGCCAACTAACCCTTGCTATTAGACTAAATCTTCAAAGTTATATAGACCATTTGGTATCATAACTATATGGCATGATTGGTTCTCAGCATACTCACTGGCTAAAAGCTTCTACCAGCATTGGGTCATCCTCAGGAATAAATGATTTATTCCACTTCCAGTAAACGTCAGTCAAATGGCCAGTGACATTGCAGATTAGCTGCAGCTGAGATCCTGCAAAGAAAGCAATGTACTGTTACAAAACCAACTGATTTTCCCCTAATCTATCTAAATAAATGGTTTGGTTATTGAATATATTATTAAAAAAAAACACAAAGGGCCCTCGCTAGTGGCACAAGGGGTTAAGACTCAGCACTGCAAGTGACTGAAGCCGCTTCGATCCCCAGACCAGGCGGTGACCCACATGGCGTGGCAGACCTCTCCTGAACCGCCCACTAATCCCCTCAGCAGTGTACTTCATCGATTTGCCTGTTCTGCTCCCCACTCTGTCTCTGGTGAATCCTCTCACTGCCCATGCAACTCTGGCCTGCACGCCAGCTCTGTATTTCTTAATAAATAAATCTTTAAAAAGAAACACACACACAAAGAAGAGAAAAATTTCCCTTAACTACCATCCAGATAACTGCTACTAGTAACTTTATGTATTTCATGTCCTAACTCTCTGTACACATACACAATTTTTATAATGGAATGTAATTGTTTCCTGCCTGCAACTATTGTGCACTGGCAATTTCAAGTCACATGGTTACCCTTCCAAAATAGCCTGCTTCATAACTACTTCATATTTCATAATAAAGATATATTCTAATTAGATTTTTCCTGTTGTTAAATGTTTCTAATTTTTGGTGATGATTAATAATATTCCAGTGAACATTCTGGTATGCAAATACTGTACATCCTGAACTATGAATAAAAAATCTGAAAGTATACTGAGCTATATTTTAAAAAGCAAACCCCTTTCCCTAGGGGAACTGCCAGTCTCTCTCTGTCAGACAGTACATGTGACTGCCATTCATCCCCAAAACACCCAGTACCAAATATTTTTGGTTAGTCTTTGGATCTTTTCCAATACCTATTTGACACCCTTCAGTATAACCACATGATAAGGAGATGCATATTTTTAATAAATTAAAAATAAGTTTTTAATTTATTTAAACAATTACTTCCTTACATTATGCAAGAAAATCTTAGTCACTGCAATGATTTGTCCCCTTCCAAGGCCATAATAGTATATCAATAGATATACAACACATCCATGGGATTAAAATTTTAAGAAAGAGGAGAAATGTTTTCTAAGACTCTATAAGGGGACAATAATGGAAAAAAATTCTGAAAAGTACTAATCTAGATTCTACTGGCCATATTTAATATTATTTTTTCACATTCTTGTTTATATTTAAGAATATCATCTTTGTATCATCTTCACCATGCTAACAACTTGATCAAGTACACAATTCATAGGATTATCTATATTAATTCAAATAATTAACAAGAACACAAACTTTTACCATCTAGTCTCATACAATTTTTCTTTGTCTCATGCAGTTACCATTACAGAAGAAAATCTATATCCATCCTGATTTTCTCTTCTATAACACAACCTTCAGGATAGCAGAAATGTTCTGTATTCATGCTGCGATGGTAGTCCTTGCTCACACTAAGTCCTTAAAATATGGCAAAAGTGTCTGAGTAACTTTTGTTCGAACCAAATTAAATTACTTAATTTCCATTGGCATAAATATAGCCACTGTGACTGGTGGCTACTGTACTGTGTAGCATAGATCTAATACTTACAGGATTAGGTCTTGAAACTTTTAACTTGAAAGTATTTTTCTAGGATGACTAACTTTTAGGACTGAAGCTTATGTTCTGCCTCAAAGCTTACTTTTCATAAGAAACCCATCATGCTCCTAATAAATTACACTCATTCATCTCAGGTCTCAGCCTTTGCTTCTTTTATGGGTAACTGTGTTCTTAGAAAAGTAAAGGTGGACAAATCAAATAAGAGGCAGGAAGTCCAAAGACTTCAACGGTTACACTTCCCCTCTAATTATAGTCTGTGAACTGTTCAGCTTTTGTGCAGTCAAGATGAAGCTTATCTTAACCCAGCATAGTGATTTCAGTGAACCTGATTGGATTCCACTTACCCAGGGCAACTGCCAATGTCTCATTAGCTGGGCTCATAATCACAGGCCTCCTAGGTCTGCTGCCCTCTGAAAGAAAAATATCCACAGAGCTTCTCAGTCTCTTATAGATTAGGACCTCAAGTGACAACAGCACTAGGCAAAATGCACCAGTGTGTATCTTCTATGGCTTCTGATCAGATAGTCCTTCGAGTACCCAAAGCATATACAGCAGGAGACAGAGGCTGGAGGTAAAGATGAGAGGTCAACACAGAGACCACCACAAAGCTATGACAGTTTCCACAAAGTGTGGGTCTCTGTGAACCCACATAGTGCTACAGGTAAAACCCACATATCGCCAGGGCCTGGGGTCTCCAGCCAAGTGTTTCTCTTAAAGCAAATCAAGAAAAACCAGACGTTGCAGAAAGGTACTTCCCTGGTTAGAGGATTATTAGCCAGGAATGGTTACCAGTGCTAGGTGGGCCTATATTTAGTCACTTGAGCAATATCCCAACAGTGAAAGCCACACAGTTATTGAATGTCAAACAATCTGGCATAATTTATTAAAATTCACAGCAAAGTATAAGGTTGATCTGCAGCCAGTCCTGAGAAACTATGAACTTGAATGCTAAGAATACTTGAATATATTCTACGGCAGTCCAAAATATGTTTCATCAGGATAGGATATTACCACTTCTGTTCCCTAATATAATCCTAAAATAATGTCTGGCACATAGTAGGTGCTCAATAAATATTTTTGGCTATACCTTTAAAAGAAAAATACCTTTAAAAGAAAATAAAGTATGAACCCTGATTGTTTTATGTTATAAATATATTTACAATATTATTTATATTTCTACATATGAGATCAAGAAAGGAGAAGGAAACTATTTAAGATACATTTAACCTATTTTGTTAAATTTCCTAGGGTTCCACTTTTCCTAAATTTCTATCTGCTGCTCTGGTTGCTGTATCTCAAGAAAAACAAGTCAGCACTGCACAATGACCAAAAGAGATAGCTGGAGTCTCAAGATGGCTATAATATAAGGTCGGTGGAAAAGAATGATTCACTGATGCCTATAGGCAAAGAATTTTGATTCAATAAAACTACAATTAGAAAAATATAATTATAGAATTAAGAAAACTTCACTCTCTGCAGAGTGATCATGTTCCGGATTTACCTGAGATACCCTCATTTATGCCTCAGTCCCAGCATAATTATTGCTAGAGGCCCCTTTAATGTTCAAAGTCTTGGTCAGAGCAGTTCTTGTTATATTGCTTAACATTGACAAAATCCTGATATTCACATAAAGTATTCTGCCCCTGTCCAGGTAACTTCTAGGAGTGTATTTTGATTTATTTTGTTATAAAGTAATTTTTAATACAAAGCATCATTAATATATCAGTGAAAGTCCCAAAATAATGAACAAGAAAAATCATCATCTTACACCTATTTATTGCTCATCTATTTGTCACCAGGTACAAGGGCACCAGTGAAGCACACCTGTCTCTCATCTTCCCAACAACCTTGGGCAGTGTATGCTCTTCTCACAGAGGAGGAGCAGGCTGAGACAGGTTAAATAAACTGAGCTAAGGAAGAGCTGGAGTGTCTCTTACTTCCAGGCCCATTAGCACTCACCATACTGTGCTGGAGATGCCCACCTCTAGACACAGACACCCCACTGAAGAGTCCCAGAGAGAATACACAAACCCGAGGCCAGCCCAGAACAGTCTCAAAGAACCACCTGCAGGCATGGCAGAGAGTAAGCCTCCCTGCTCAGCTAGGAACACAGTCCATTCTGTCTGTGTAATTAGCAGTGCATCTGAGCAGAAAAAAAAAACAAAAAACACTCACAGCATTTAGCATCAAAAAACTAAACAAAGCCGTTGACATTTGGCAATCCTCAAATTTCCCTTGGATTTGTTTCCTTTGTGGAAACTGAAGGTAGTACTAGAATCACAGTTTCTGGACTTTCTTGGACTTAAACTACAAGGGCCAGAACTATGACTCACCCACAGTAGTAAACAGTATTGTCCGGGTGATGGGATACTGCTTCCCCAAGTGCGTGTAGGTTGCGTGGCAAGTATAGTTGCCTCTGTGTGCCTCATTCGCATTCCTGATGAGGAGCTTATTCCTTTCTTCAATGAAATTTACATTGTCAAGAAGTAGCGGTTTGCAATTCTAGATAAAGAGAAGGAAATATTGAAAACCAATGAATCACTTTGCCCAGTCTACCAGTTAAGAAACTTTACTTTTTCACATCCATATATAGTGTATATAATTCTTGACAGAACTTTCATATATTCATATGTAAAGATTCCTTACACACAAGCTTTATATTGTATGTTTTTAATTTTATTTATTTATATATATTTTACATCATTTTTCTTTTTTTTTTTTTCCTTTTTTACAGTGTTTGCTTTCTTTTCTCAGGTGGGATTCCCACCACTAATTCACCTGTGCCCCATTACCATAGTTTCTTGTGCTTTTCCTCCCCCCTATCTCAATCCCTCTGCCTACCTCTCCCCTGCAGAATGTCTCTGATTTACAGTGGTCATATATTGTATTTTTTGGCAAAAGTTAATTATATTCCTAGAATATTAAAGTTTTATGCCTATGAGTTTTACATTTCTAAGATGAGTATAAATTTATTTTGCAAGAACATGTTTGAGGAAACATAGTTCCTTAGTAACCTATTCTTCCTTTCTTCACTGATATTTTGTACTTTGTATCAATCAACCTCTAGAAGGCAATTCTTCATGTAAATTGGAACAGACTAAGCAGATCAAAGATACAAAAACAGTATGTGTTCCACTGAGTGCTAGCTAATCTGTTTTTAGAAGTTATAAAACCACTAAATTACTTAAAAACTACTTAATATATTTTGGCCCTCCCTGGTGGCGCAGCGGGTTAAAGCACAGCACTGAGAAGCTTAAACCAATTCTGCATGGGTTCGATCCCCGCCTGCCCCGGAGGAGATCCACATGGTGCGGCAGACCTCTCCTGACCCGCCCGCTGCTCCCCTCAGCAGTGTACTTTGTATTTTGCCTGTTCTGCTCCCCACTCTGTCTCTGGTGAATCCTCTCACCCTCTGCATCTCTGGCCTATACCCCAGTTCTGTATGAATAAATAAATATATCTTTTAAAAAAAAACTACTTAATATATTTTTTAAAGATTTATTCATTTATGCTTGCAGAACTGGGGTACAGGCCAGAAGTGTGGTAGGTGACAGGATTCACCAGAGATAGAGTGGGGAGCAGAACAGGCAGATCTACCGAAGTACACTGCTGAGGGGAGCTGTGGGGGAAACAGGAGAGGTCTGCAGTACCCTGTGGATCAGCTCCCTGGCGGGGGATGGAACTCGTGCTACAGGGGCTGCGGAGAGTTTCATAATGTGGTGCTTTAATCTGCTGCTACACCAGGGAGAGCCCCTTAATATTTTTTATAAAATACAAAATAACATTTTATAACAAATAGCTATCTCTTAAAAATCCAAAATTTGTAATCAGCCTTATCTTTAAACATCTTTTATTTCTATTGTACTTTTCTCATATAGCTTATTAAATTAAATAAAAATAAAAATAACAAAAGACCTTTGTTAAGCTGCAGATCAAACACATGCAATGTTCATTTTGTTCATATGTTCATAACTTTCCCCTCAAAAACAAATAATATGCCAAATTAAGAAGTCCTTTACAGACTTACTTGGTTGTCTGGCACAAAACTATTTCATTTGCTGGGAAAGTAAAATAACAATCTCGTTTAAGATGAAATTACCTTATACCACTGTATTTGGGGGAACTCATCGTTTTCATCTTTAAATAGATCCATGTAAGGACATACAATTGTTCCATCTCTTCCAGTGGGTAGTTTCTGTGGAAATACAGCTTCTGCATTATAACATGAGTCAGGCTCATTCTTCACAAATTTTGTAGTTAATTTACTTTTGAGGCAGTAAGTTGAATTTCTAAAATAAATCAAAACAGATGAAGTAAGCCTTAATTTTTTTCTGTTCTTAACTACTACAGGTACCTAAAACACCAGTCTTTCATATATGTTAATTCCTTTCTTACCTTACTATACAATAGAAATGTCCTGAATCCTCTACCTTTGCAGGAACAAACCAAAGCTTATCTTTGTACTGATGAATCCTGGAGTTTCTTTCCGTAGATACTGGTGTTGTACTGTCATTTTGATACCAAATTACAGTGATGTTGTTTTTTGTTAAGACAGGAGAACATGAACGAATATCAATTTCATATGCAGACGAAACCAAACTTACAACTTCTTCATGATGCTTACATTTATCTTTAGAAGAGAACATGGGAAAACAATTTAAATTTCCATAAAAAGTTCATGTTTCTTAATGTAAAATCTACCTAGAAGTAAATCAAATATTAAGTATATCAATTCATATTATATAAGAAAGTTTAAAGGTCTTATGATGAAGAACTTTTGGGGGAGTCTGAAACATTTAAATCCACATTCAGTTGTGTCATTTACTTCAGCAAGTTAACCTCTCATCCCCTCTTTATTCAGCTAAATATTGAGGATAATATAGAACTATCTACTGTAGTACAAGATGAAGTAACAGGGACTGGATTTACCCTCCCACCTAAATAATGAAAAATGGGCAAAGCTCATGAAACAGCAGTGCTCATGACCACAAGCCAGAAATACAGAAAGTTGGAGCCAGGGAAAGAAGGTAAACTCTAAACTTTCTTAAATTATTGCCTACAGAGGATATAGGCCATGATGCTGTAGTGAAAAAATGTAGGTAAAATAGAGTGTTTTTGTTGAGTGGACGAGCTAGAGCTGGAAATCCAGGTAAACCAAAAGTTTGTGTGTTATCAACGAGATAAGATCTGCATACACAGAGTGAGAAAGTGTGCTTGGGATCTCTCAGTGAATCTCCAGGAAGAGTGTAGCTGAGATTCAACTAGTTTAAGCATACAAGAGAGATATCCGGGGTCATAGTGAGAAGTGCCAAAAGATTTAGAGGTATGATAGCTGGAGGACACTTAATGCTGGGAATAAATGCTGTTCTCAACAGGCAGAATGGAAAAGTTTAAACTGATGAGGCAACAATTTAAAAAAATCAATAATGAGTATGTAAAGTTTAGTGTGAGTAAGGAAAAGATTCATGTGAGGTGATGCCTGAGCCATGAAACATAAATATTACAAAATGTCCTTCTTATTGAGGAAATAGGGGAGAGTAAAATCATAACTTCTAACTCTAAAGTCTTCACCCCTGACTTTCAGGATGCACATTTTCCTATGTAGACCACTTTTCTCTCAGTTTCTTCACTGGTCAAAACTACATGTTTCTCTTTTCCCACATATTGCTGTGTGTTAATATATTTCTTGAGCTGTTTTCATATTATTTCTCTCCTCCCTATGAGATTAAAGGAAAAAAAAAAAAACTTTGGCCCACTGAACTATAAAGTTGTATATTTTTATCTGATAATTATACCACAGGTAGATCATCTGATTAAGCTGAGAATGTGAATCAATAGCTGTGTCAGTTTTTTTAAATTAAATTAAGCCTGGATAAAAGCTGCTCTTCTTTTTCATTTTAACCACTAGTTTGATGCCATCCCTATTTGGGGTCATCTGTTTCACTTCAGGCCTGTTATTCTCCATGAGTTAACAATCCAGATTCCAGTGGCTATAATGAGATACCAAGATTTTACAGAATTATCTCAAGAAAATTTTAAGCAAATGAACAGCTATTGCAGCAACAATAAAAAAATCAGCTATGTCAGGATTTCTGGAGTTGCGGCATCATGCGACCTAAAAAGTTCATCTTCAATAAAACATCCAAAGAAAAGGAATATATTCCCATCCACAGAAGAAAAATTAACCAGTAGAAACTCCAGAATGGTCTAGGTATGGCACTTAATAGACAAAGGCTTAAAATCTGTTGTCTTAAACATGTTCAAAGAACAAAAGGAAATCATGTCTAAAGAATTCAAGAAAAATACAACAATATCTCACCAAATAAATAATATCAATGAAACACAAAAAAGAAACATTTTGTGAAGCAAAAAAGTCAAATTATTAAAACAAAAAAATTAGTAGAAGGTCTTAACACCAGATTTGAACTTAAAGAAATAAAGAATGGTAATCTAGGGCCTTCCCTGGTGGCGCAGCGGGTTAAAGCACTGCACTAAGAAGCTAAAGTCACTTCTGCATGAGTTCGATCCCTGCCTGCCCTGGAGGTGACCACATGGTGTGGCAGACCTCTCCTGACCCACCCCCTGCTCCCCTCAGCAGTGTATTTCATCTATCTGCCTGTTCTGCTTCCCGCTCTGTGTGTGGTGAATCCTCTCACCATCCCTGCACCTCTGGCCTGTACCCAGTTCTGTATCCATAAATAAATAAATCTTTAAAAAAATGGTAATCTAAAGATTTGTCAACTAACCATTAGGTTGTACAGAGCCTCAGAGACCTGTAGGGTATCATCAAGAATACTAAATGTGAATAATGACCAAGAAAGTATCAAAAAAAGATATAATAGTCAAAATTTCCCAAACTTTATGAAAATCAAGTTCTTTCAAATAATATAAATAATAAGATATACTCCTAGGCATATCATAGACACACTGTGAAAGGCAAATATAAAGACAGAATCTTTAAAAAAGACAAGAAAAAAAGAAACCTCATCAAGTGATAATCAGTAAGATAACAGCTGGCATCTTAGAAATCATAAAGTCAGAAGGCAGTGGGATGACTTATTAAAATGCTGAAAGAGAAAAATGACAACCAAGAATTTTTGTGAAATAAAGCTTCAAAAATTAAAGATAAATGAGGATAATCCCAGGTAAACAAAAACTGACAGTTAAACATGAGTAAAACTGACCAGTGAGACATAATAGAAGGAATCCCTCAATCTATAATGAAATTAAAGTAGGTGGAAATTCAAACCCACATGGGGAAGTAAAGAATATCAGTAAAAGGAACTATATAAGTATTTATTAAAGTCATTATGCATATGTATTTGGTTTACAACTTCTCATTTTCCCTAAATAATTTTTAAAATAACTATTAAGACTATAAATCCATCTAACTGGAGGTGTATACCTAAATCTCAACATCCAGAAGGAAACAGAAGGAAATTACCATGATCTGTGTTCAAATAAAGACTTTTTTAAATGAACTATCAAAGCACCATTCACAAGAAAAACAGAATTGATGCATCTAAATTATGAACTACTTTTTGAAAGATATTAAGTAAATGAAAAGACAAATGACAGACTTGGGGGAAATTATTTACAAATCATACATATAATAAAGGTCCGTAATCAGACAGAAAAGGAAGTCTCAAAGCTCAGTAATAAGAAACAAAATAATCCAATAAAAATGAGCAAAGATTTGGAAATTTCACCAAAGAAAATACATGGATGGGATGTAAAGGAGCTCATTAACATTAGCAAGGTAGAACTAAAAGCTACAGAGGCTAGTACTTGTGGGATTAAAATTTAGAAGGTTGACAATACCAAAAGGAAATTTTCATTATCTTGATTGTGATATTGCAGCTGGATAGGTATGTCAATATAGCAAGTTGTACACTTTAAACATATGTGGTTTATTGTATTTCAAAGATAATCTCAATAAAGCTGTTTAAAAACATGCAAGTTAAAGAAAAGGTCTCACCTAGACAAACTCTTCTGTTATCTGGGGTTTGTCCCAACACTCCACCAAATTGTTCTAATTCAGGTTGCTTTTAAATTGCTAAATCAAATAAATATTTCTCAAGCATGATCTAACTTGACATGTCTGCAAATCACAGATACTGTTCTCCCTCCTTGAAACACTTCTCACTTGACTCAGAGCCCCTGGCTGATCCTCCCCTCCATTCAAGTCAGCATTTCATCAGTTCTATGGACAACAATCCTTTCAAAGAACTGAGGTTCAGTCCTTAAAGTTCACATTTCCCCTACTACACTTGCTCCCAAGGCTGTGTTTGATCTGCCATGTAGACTCCTCTCAGGCTCAGCCTGCTTAGGCAACATCACCATGCTAAACTGTAGATGGACAGTCTGAACACTGGATCTTCCCCAGCCCTTCAATGGCACCTGCATTACATGTGCTCATCCTGACATCCTTAGAGTGATCCTTGAGTCTTCTCTTTCTCTCACAGTCACCTCCAGTCTATCTTTAAACCGTACAACTCGATCTTCAAAATTTATCCAAAACTTGATGACACACCATTTATCCCCACCATGTTTAAACAGACAACCGTCATGGCTTGCCTGGATTATTACAATTGTGTCCTAACTGGTCTCTCTATTTCTGCCTTTGCCTTCCTCTGAAATGTACACAATATAACCACCACAACAAATCTCTTAAAATGTAAATTGGATCATCTCTCTAGTACTGAACCCAGAACCCGCAAAGTACAATTCAAGACTTTTAGAATGATCTATGAGGTTCTACATAATCAACCCTCCACCCTTCCACCACAACCCAAATGACCTCATCTTTTATCATGTTTTCTGCCTCTCACTCTCCTCCAACCACATTGGTATTTCAGTTCCCAGAACATGTCAGTAGTCTCAGCCTCAATCAAGGCCTTGGCACACACTGTCTAGAATCTGCCCCCTCACCCCACAGATAGCCATGAAGACTGGTATCTGTTTAGCTCCTTCCCTGCCCTTTTCAGGTTGAACTCAGAAGTTAACAGCACAAAAAGGCCTTTTTCCGGTCATATGAGCAAAAAAAAGAAAAATTAACCTTATGTCTACTTAATCCCAAGCCCTTATACTCTCCTGTCCTAGATTTTTTTTCTCTACACTTCATTACAATATGACATAATATTTATTTTTCACCTAACGTACTGATTTTTTTTCCCCAAGCTGAAAGGAATCCCACACAGGCAAAATGATCCATTACTGTTTACTGTAGTTATTGAGTAAAGGCTCAGTACATTTGTATTATGTAGTGATGGCAGGGGAGAGAGAGAAAGAAAAGGAATTATCTCTAGATGGTTTTCAGCCATGCACTCATAAAAGTTACATTTAACACCTCTTCATATGAAAGCCAGAATTTCCCGTAACAGAGCAGGAAGATGCCTGAGCTAGACATTGGAGACCTGGATTTTACCTCTCGCTTCAAAACTACATATGTGTTTTGAGGCTCTTAATCTCACTGGACCTCAGTTTCTTATGTGTAATGAGAGAATAAGAGGTCAAACTGCTGAGAAGAACATTCAGCAATATAGATCTATGACCAGGAAGTTCTGTATCCTGGGATTCAACAAAACACGTAAGAAAAATGACTGGTAGGAAAGGTATTTCATGTATTCTAAATAAGGCATTTTTTTAGCAGACAAGAATATAAGGACATACTTAACTTACCAGCCTCCAGAGAAGAAATCAATAGAGCTATTAAACAAGCCAACCTGAGTAACACTTTCATATTCTCCTGGGGGAAAAAAAAGGAATGGGGAAAAAAAAAAGAGAGAGAGAGAGAGAGAGAGATTACTATCCAGAAAATCTCTAAAGCTATATACAGCAGACACCCCACTTGTCCTCACTCCCCCCCAAACCCCAGGCCATAATGATCAGTTAATCTTCCTATGTCATTAATGTGATCAAGCTTCTAGATAGAAATGGGGGCGAGGGCCCTCCCTGGTGGTGCAGCTGGTTAAAGTGCAGCACTATGAACCAGTGCAGCCCTGGTTCAATCCCCAGCCAGGGAGGTGACCCACATGGCACGGAAGACCTCTCCTGACTGGCCTGCTGCTCCCCTCAGCAGTATTTCAGTACATCTGCCTGTTCTGTTCCCCACTCTGTTTCTGGTGAATCCTCTCACACCATGCACCTCTAGCCTGTATCCCAGTTCTGTGTGCATCAATAAATAAATCTTTAAAAACAAAAAAGAAAGAAAGAAAATGGGGGCAGGGAGTACAGGGTTAGGGGAAGGTAAATGAGGATTTTTAACAGAATTGAGTTTAACAGGATAAACTCAATCTAAGATTAAAAAGACTTATATGTGCAATCTACATTTCCAGTCTTGAATGGTACTCAACTTTCCCCCGAATCTAACCTATGCCATCTTCAATATAGGCTACTCACTAGACCCCAGACTTATACTTAGGTAGATTTGTTCCCCACCTGAAATGCAGTTCCCCACTCCACTTCCAGGGCTCACCTGTAGAAGTCTCCTTTTCTTTTATAAGTTAAATTGTTGTTTTTACAATATAATTGTTTTTACAATATAATACAGCTACACAGAAATGCCTCAGAAAGACTAAAAGAAATGTTCCCCTTCTTTGGGGCTTTCCATGTAAAATTTCTACAGTGAACATGCATTAATTTCTCACAAAGAAAAACAAATACAAAAACACAAACTCCACAGTCCCTCTGACTTATTTTGAAGGCCACATCAATAGACAAGCATCAGGTACCACAGGTACTGACTAGTGGTAGGGCTTCATCTTAAAATGAGGTCCTAACAATTTATGATTGTCTAATGCAAAACACTGTGCTAACTCATCCATTTACAAGATCCAATTTGTTTGATTGCTGGGGGAAGAGAAACATGCAAGTTTGAATTTTATAGAAAATATCTTGAGATATAATTCCAAATAAATCACAGGCAAATAAAATTTAATTATCACAGTGCAAAGTCAGCAGCTAGCACAAGGCAATGTGATCTTTGACCTGATCCTGGCTTCAGTTCCCTTACCTAGATGGGTGGGCAATGAGCCAGATAATCTCAGACTCCTTCCTGCTCTCTCAGTCTGTAAAACATGGGAGCCAGGTCCATAAGCTTCAGGATCTTTACCTGCCCCAGAACGGCACTGAGAAAAAACAGGGGTGTGGGAGTGGGCCCTTCCCCTCAGCAAGAGACTTTCTGCATATGGACCAGTACCCAGGGAGACTTTCTGCATAAGGGCCAGTACCCAGCACCCCAGGGGTCCCCTTCAGGCCAGAGGGTAGGTTAAGAGTTGCATAACCTAAGGGAGAAAGACAGCAAAAGGGAATGAGGTCAAGATGAGCCCTCATGCATTTAGTCTCAAATACATACTAGATCAAACATGCACCCAGCAAAAGTCAGCACACACACCGCCCCCCATTACATCCCCAAATGACACAAAATTCCAAGGAAGGCGCCAAATCTGACTCACCTTCCTACTGCAGGCAGGGGAGAGGCTGGCCAGCCTGGGAAGCCTTTTAACGTTTGTGTTCTACTGTATGCCAGGCGGAGTACTAGTACCAGATTTAAAAAATAATAAATTTAATTAAAATAAATAAAACAAAACAGAAAACTAGAAACTGCTCCTCAAAATTGTCATGATATAAGCACTTGCCATTACATGATCACAAGATCTATCCCATGCACCCCAGTGATGGCATATTGGACAAAAGCTCAGCCTCTGCCTCATGAGGGAGTTAACAGTATTTTTCTGTTGTTGACAGCTGCTGTAAGAATTAAATGAGCTGTGGCATTTGAAGGGCTTAGAACACTGGAAAATGGTCACATGCAAATATTAGCAGTTACATACTCCCCTGGGCTTTGACAATAAATCTAAGTGTCTGCAAAAGGTCCTCAATAGTCATTCATTTCTTTACTCATTCATAACCAAATTCAGCAATTGTATATTGAATAGCTACACATGGCTGCATCTACAATTGGCTCTCAGGCCCATGATAGGAATAATGACCCAAATCCTGGCTCACGGGGCTCACATGGCATACTCAGACAGTCAGAGGGTGTCACTCAGTGTGAGGGTGGGGGAGGGGGCGGGGGGCAGGGTCTCCTGGAACTAGGTGATCTGTGTTGCCTCCTATAGAAATTACAAATCTGAATGTAAGGTGAAAAATGACAGGAGTTCAGAGCCTGGAATGTGCTGGAACTGGAGATGGTTGACAGCACTGTGGGAGTAGGCATCACTTATCTGATAGCCATGACTGTGAGGTGACCAAGGGACAGTGGTGAGCAGTGACTCCCAAAGGTCACTGACCCCATCAGAAATCAGACAGAATCATGGAGATGTCCCCAAGAAAAGCAAAAATAAAAGATGTTGTCTGTGATGGGAAAGAGCCCAGGAAGACCCCCTTAAACTGGTGTTGGAGGACTTCAGATGTGTAGTTGGGTGGACCCCGGAGGTAAACCGGTCCTGTTACCTGGAAGACGATCTTTTCTTGTACAAAGTGGTCCTGCTTCTCAGGAGAGAGTCACCATCTTTAAGGGGCACATCTACCTGGGGGTTGGGGAGGAAGAACACACACAGGGGTATAAGTTTAAATGAAGAAACCTAAAGTCAGTCACTTTGTGTCACAAGCATTTCAAGATGCACTCAAAAATCCAGGGTGTGCTTACAAAAATGAGCCATATGTTTCAAAGTGTATTTCCAGTCCTTTCAGACAGTCCTTTCAGAAAGTCAAGTTCTGGAGTCAGTAATACAAACCAGTTGACAACTCCCAACTCTTTGGGGGTACATGCACACCTGTATGTCGTTAAAAATAGGGACTTAGAAGTGAACCACACAACGCCCAGGGTGCTCCTAGCTTAGTGTCCTGGGAAAATAAAGCTCAGAGAACTGAACCAGAAGCAGAGAAAATAAACAGGGTACCTTTCGTTGTAATTTCTTATTGAGAAAACATTGTATTATAACATTGTAAAACTTTCAAGTGTGCCTCATTACAAATCAACATCTGTATAAATTACATTAAGTGCATCACTAAAAGTCCAATTCCATCCTTCACCATACAGTTGAGCCCTTTTTCCTGATCTATTCAGCCGCCTTTTCCTCTTTCCCTTCTGGCAACTATTAATTCGGCCAAGTTTATTTTTGTTTTATTTAGTTCATTATCACCCACACATAAGAGAAATCATACAGTGTGACTTATTTCACTAAGTGTAATGCCCTCTAGGTTCATCCATGTTATTGCAAATGACAACCCTGCAGCTCTTTTCTATAGTGAAGAGTAATCCACTGTGTGTATATTGCATCTATCTCTTATCCATTCATCTGTCCAAAGACAACTTAGGTTGTTTCCAGCTATTGGCTATTGTAAATAGTGCAGAAAAGACCATGGGGCTGCAGGTATTTCTTCCAATTAATTTTTGTACTTGGGGGCTAAATACTCCAAAGTAGGATAATTGGATCATATAGAATTTTTTTTTTTTTTTTTTAAAGATTCATTTATTTGTGCATGCAGAACTGGGATACAGGCCAGAGGCTCAGGGGCGGTGAGAGGCTTTAGAATTTCTACTTTTAAGCTTTTGAGAAATGCTGATGCTGCTTTCCATAATGGTTATACCAGTTTACCTTCCCATCAGTGGTATGCAAAAGTTCCCTTCCCCCACACCCCCAGCCCTTGTTTCTTGTCTTTGAATCTTAAGAGCCATTTTTTACAGGTGTAAAGTGATAGCTCATTCACATTTCCCTAAAAATACAAAATAATATATTTTCACGTGCCTATTGATCCTCTGTATGTCTTCTTTGAAGAAGTATCTAGTCACATCTTGTGCTCATTTTTTTAATTGGTTGTTCTTTTTTTGTTGCTGAATTTTATGACTTCTTTATATATTTTGAATATTAACCTCTTGTTGGATGTATGATATACAAATACCTTTGCCCACTCAGTGGGTTGCCTTTTCATTTGATGATGGCATTTTTTGTTATGCAGAAAATTTTTATTAACCCATTGATTTTTTAAAATTTTATTTCCCTTACAATTGGAAACAAGCACCCAAAATCTAATGTTGTTGAGTGTGTTGACTATGTTTTCTTCTATGCATTATGGCTTTGTGTCTTACATCCAAGACTTTTATTTCATACCATCTCTTATACTCCTTAAACTCTTTCTTCCTTTCTCTCTCGGGCCCCCCCACCACTTAATCTCAGAAGCATCATTTCATATAGTAGTGTCTGCTAGCTTTTATAAGCATTTTCCTTTGTCAAATCATTGTGATGTAACTATTTAATATTTTCATTTTTTTGTCATTCTGACCTACTTTACTATAAATTCCCTTGAGATTCTTCCATTTTTCTATAAATGGGGATAGTTCACTTTTCCTTGCAGCTGAACAGATTTCATAGTGTGGAAATATCACATCTTCTTGATCAAATCTCCTATCATTAGTCATTTAGGGTTTTCACCCATTCTAAACTATTATAAATAATTTTCTAATAAACATTATACATCATATAATTCTTTGAGTTGATACTTTCTTGTTCTTCCAATAGACACCCAAAAGTGGGTTACATGAAATTTCTATTCTTAGTTTTTTAAGGTACAGAACACTTTCCATGATGGCTACACCAGTTTTCATTCCCAGCATTGAGATAATAGGCTCCTCTTTCTCTGCAAGGTGCTCTCAGTACTTGTTAGAATCCTTTTTTTTTTTTAAAAGATTTATTTATTTGTGCATACAGAGCTGGGGTACAGGCCAGAAGCTCAAGGGCAATGAGAGGCTTCACCAGAGACAGAGTGGGGAGCAGAACAGGCAGATCAATGAAGTACACTGCTGAGGGGAGCAGCGGGCGGGTCAGGAGAGGTCTGCCACACCATGTGGTCACCTCCGGGGCAGGTGGGAATCGAACTCATGAGGAAGTGGCTTTAGTTTCTCAGTGCTATGCTTTAACCCGCTGCACCACCAGGGAGGGCCAGAAACTTTTTTAATATGTGCCATGCTCATAGGTATGAGATGCTATCTAAATGTATATATCCAAGTTTTAATCCATTTTGAATTAGTTTTTATGTATGGTAAGAGATGGTGGTCTAATTTCATTCTTTTGCCTTTGACTGATACCATTTATTGAGGAGGTTTCCTTGAGTCATTGTACGTTCTTGGCTCCTTTGTCATAAATTAGTTGTGCCCATATCGGTGAGTTCATTTCTGGGTACTCAATTAGGATACCTTTTTAAGAAGAGGTTCTCTCCCTGAGTCATAACTCTTCCTTATACCAAGCATATTAATATACCTGCATTCCAAAGTACATATTTGAAATATGTCAAAAAACAAACAACAAAAAAAACTAATTGGGATTGTCCTAACCTATGTCCTATAGATATGTCACCATTCATTTCCTGGTTTTGCAGTTTACCTTTAATATCTTGGAGTCTAATATTTTTTCAGGTCTGATTCATTTCCTTAGGCTTTTGAAAAGCTTGTAAGAACTAAGCATTAGGCCTTTCAATGCCAAATGTATAAAACAGGCTGACTACTTTGACACCAAATATTTTGTTTCAACTAAATGAGCTAAATGGCATCCTCTTATTCAATTTAGACTTCTGAGAAAGGACATAGCTTAACCTGATGGTGTCAGAAGCACAGTGGCTCATGGGCATGAATCACAACATCCCACAAACTCAACAAGAAGCCTCCCAGCTCTTCCTACTCCCAGGGCTAGCAGTGACCTCCGGGCCCCCAGGGGCATGGCCCAGAAACGACTGCAGGTGATGGAATCATGTAGAGACCATCACAGAGAAATCCCCAGGGGGCAGGAGGGCAGGATGAACAAGAGCGATGTTTTATCTGGAAAGCCCAGGAAACATTTGCTGAGAAGTTGACACCCCTCTCCCCCATAACCACTTCACTTTCCCTCTTCCTCTTTGCTTCTTAAGAGAATTGTCACAGTCACTGCAGCTACTTCTCACCCACTGCTGGACAACCCTGCCGCTGCCTCCTGTGTGCTTCCCTCCAAGCTGCTTTGCCCACACCCCACACCCCCAGCTTCTCAATGCAAAGGGGCCCTCCATCTCCACTTTCCCCAAGCGTTCTGCAACACCTGGCCCTTCCACCACGCGTTCCTGACTCCCTGGAAGGAGGGTCACTCCCACTCTGCCTTTACTTTCTATCTTGCTGTCTCCTTCACAGGCGTGGCTCCCTGAGCACCTGCAAGCCTGGTGCCACGCTGCCACCACGTCCCCTACGCACCTCCTGGACTGGCCTTCAGTTCTACCTGACCTAGTCGGCTAGTGGTTTCTGTGACTTCTGGCCAGCTCTGGGCAAATTCTGATGAGAGGCCTCATCCAAAGCACCTGCTGATCCACAGGCAAAAGTGCCAAGTCACACAGGTTCTCCTGGCATGCTGCCCATTCCTCAGACTTCTGCTACACAGGCAAGAGGGACAGATGTATTAAGAAGGCCAGGAAATCTTGCAGAGAAGGTGACTCCTATCTCCTCCCATCATTTCACTTTCCCTCTTCCTCTTTGCCTTAGACTTCTGGCTCTGGAACCCAGGTCTCTGCCAGCAATGGGTGTTTCCCCCAATTTGGGCCCCCCTACCTGAGCCAAGGGAAAGAGGAACAGAGCAGAGGCTTCTGAGGAAGGCCATGTTCTCCACATCTTAGATGTGATCAGAGCTCAGTTAACAATTGTGGAAGGACAGAAGGGAGATGGGACAGTGTGAGGGAAGAAAGGATAGGAAGAGAGAAGAAGAGAAAGATGAAGGGAGGGAGGGATGGTGGCAGAGAGGGAGCAAGAGAAGGGAGGAATTTATCACCCACCACCTTCATACTAGATTACTAGGAATGAAAATCTGGCCTAGGGTCAAGGTGGGAGGGGCCCATCCTGGAACATCTGCTAGGACTTGGAGCAACAGGAAGCCTGGGGCTTATCACGCCCACTGCCAGCAGCCTTGGGGCTCATGGCTGTAGGAGACAGGAAAGACTGGGATCTTGACTTTCTATGAGAACCACATGAAAGCTAGCCATGGGCACTCCCAGCACAGCAACCAGGGCTTCTTGATGGTCACATGTTTGGAAATACTATTATATCACATGACTAAAGTGACACTCGGAACATACATAGAAAGCTACTTTATCAAAGATAAAATGAAAAAGCATGTTTGAGGCATGAAACAACTTCCTACTAGATCCACATGAGAAATTTCAATGTGAACTAAATGACTAAACCAGACATTAAGTTTAAGAATAGAAATAAACACTGGTCCTGGGAAAACCCCCTCCCAGGAAGAACCAATTTCATCCCCTCGCACCTATCTGCAAAGAATTCCACACCCAGGGCAGACACAGGGAGAGTGACCACAGGGGCAAGAGGGGCCCCAGGAGTGAATGTCCTCCTCAAGGACAGACCCCAGTGTAGGGGGAGGGAAACTGTCCCGACTTTGTGGCCACAATGCCGCTTGAAGAATTTCCCACAACCGTGCCAATTTCCTTCTTATTCTCAGGAATTCCCCCACACTGTGAATCCTGCCTTCCCGGCCAGTGGCTAGGCTCCAGGCAGAAC